ATGGGTACTGGCTAGAATAAAACCTAGATTCAGAGCTTATATTTGATTCGTTCCAATAATCTTACGTCAAAGTGTAAACATATATATAGTGAGTTACAATGATAATATTAATAATAGTTCCACCAAGGTAACTTCTGTTGTTAATTATGTATACTCTCGTGTCCTTAAATGTAAAGGAATTACACTATTAATAATAACAGTTGAAACCATGAGTCAATTAAAGCTAGACCACCATGGGGAACCTTGAGGCACTGGACGGCCGTTTCGTCCCATTGTGGAACTTCTCATCAATGCGCATCCACGATCCCGCCTCGCGAGATTCGAAACTACGACCTATCATTCTCACACGCGAGCGCTTAACCTCTAGAACCACCGAGTCGGCAGGCAACAGTGTTATTTTCTAACTTCAACCAATCCACAAAATTGAGCAACCGTCTACCATTGTCTTCAGTGCGTTCATACCTCAAAACACACCTGGTTCAACTCCACTAGTCACTGCTTCTCACTAGAACTCCAGGAAATATCTTTTGAAGTCAGTCACTAGTGATCATATGATTATTATCAGAAGGGTTTTTTGTGTGGAGATTTTAGCTTCCAGGTTTTCCATGGTGTTCTAGCTTCAATTGACCCTTTCTGATAATAATAATAACAAAGACAGACATTCATTGGAATTTTCAGGCATGAAGTACGATAAACTTTGATCTAAATAGCTTCTGTAAATGACTATCACGAGTGGTTTTCGTAATGGCAAAAAAATATACAAACTTTCAAACTATATTTGTCTTATTCACAAAGGTTCCATGTGTTGTAGAAACATATAATTGAGTCACAACTACGTAGATTTTTGTGAATCCTTTGGTAATTTTCAGTGTCTTGCGAAAATAAGTAAATTTAAGAGGTTTTAATCTCGCTCGTAATATCTTTATTTTAACTGTAACTGGCAATGAATTACTAGTTACTGAGTAATACATTATTTAATGTATAATATCCCTGTTTAGGATATTTTGTGGATGAGACTTCCATATTAGACGTTTTTTCTAAACGTATTTCATAAAGAATAATTCAGTTCCATATAGTTTAGGAATTGTTTATGATAAAAAACACCCGAAGTACATTTAAATTTTAGAATAAATTGGTAACATAATTAACAGGAAACACAAAATTACTTTCTGTGTATAAATATTGACCACTATTTGTGCTTACTAAACCAATTTAGCTAGTGAAAATAAACAGTGAACTATTCATACATCAAAGGCTTTGATCTTATTATTATATGAACTACGGAATCTGATTGTTTAGGATATATTTCATTACAACTAAAAGTGCATATTTTGTGTGAAGTTTATAGAACTTGATTCCGTTTTTGTAAAAAAGGTATTTGCAAGTTCAATATTCAACAATAAAAAAACTTAGGATATGGAAAAATTCACTTTATTTGTGTCACATATATTGTGAACCAATTTCTGGAGTTTGCACAACAAACCACACCGCAATAATAATTACTTATTGAATCAACTAATTTTGAGAAATTCGATAAATTTTATTGTGCAAAACACAGTACTTCGTAACACCGGAGTTGTAGGAGTTTAGCAAATGAGTTCAATACACAATAATACTTAAGTACATCATTATAATACTTCAAAAGCTATAAGAGAATGCTTCATATCCGTGTAGGCGAATTTTATGAGATTGGTACCAATAAGCCTAATATCTTACTAAGTAAGTTTGTGATTTATATAAGAGGTCGAAATTCTAGAAGCCTATACAATTACTATTTTAACTTTGTCAGTCATAGGGCGCTGTTTCATTCTAGGCTAGGTTTCGTCAGAAGCGTGTGCCGACGAACTCTCACAATACCAAGACCAATCAAATGAATATGCTTCGATTGAGTGCCAACTTTCAACCTGAAAACTGTTCCTGAATTTCTTTTTTTAAAAGAGATATTTGTCTGGGATTTACAGTCCGATTATATATTCCTCATACTGTTTGAATCTTTATTCATAACAATGTATTTTTGGTTCAATTTGATTACATTAATCAAGAACCTAGTGTTCTTAGAGTGAATCACATCTTTATTTCTAAATTTCTGACATAAAATCAATCTTTGAATGTGGAGAAAATATCTAAAGAATCATAACAAGCAAACTAGTGGGATATGCTGGGACGGTTTCATTACTTAATAACTAGATGCAGTTAATATGTAAAAATTCTAGATAAGTAACCTTTAACATCAACATTATCGGAAACGACATAATATATTCTGATATGGCGGGATTTGGTAATTAACAGTAATTAAATCCTGTTATGTTATTTCAACCCCGGGATTTAAGATTCATGATCATTTTCACATATCAAATAAAAAGTTATCACTAATCAATTAGTGTGAAACAGGTGTATGTAGCGACGTACCTTTTATCGGTACTGGTTCCTAATGAATATTATTTCCGAAGCAATCAAATCCTAAAGCTGTTTACTTAAAACTGTGGTGGACCAAAAAGTATGATAACCAAAAAATACATGCAAAAACTATGAAAAATTATTTACAAAATAGGTTTTATAGTCCTATCTCCACAAAACTAAAATGACAACAACTTATCGTTTGCACACGTTTGACACAGTCTGATAGTTTTTCCGGACAACTGGGTGTTTGACGAAAGTGAAAACTACTGAGTTGGTTAATAACTGCATAAATCTCTTTCAGCTTAATGAGATTTTAAGACAAGTGCTACATAAATGACCTACATCATTATGAGTTTTATGACACTGCTTCGGATTTTAAAGGCATCTATTTACAAATATCCCCTTACATGATAAGTTTTGACGAATTTCGGCCTGTCCTAGGAAGAAATCTTCAACCGAATAGGTACTTTCAATAAAAATCAGTTTTATATGACTTTCAATGCTTACCATATCATTTTCATAAATTTGAGTATCTGGCATTGGATTAGCAATAACATATCGGAAACCATTTTCTTGCCATCTATACAATCCAAGACATAGAATCTGCCAACATGTTATACAGCGAATGTAGACATCTTTAAAAGTAAGTGGCTTCTAAAATTTTCAACAGTAAGTATACACATTAATTTACTGAGCCAATTGTATGTATATGTTAGCAGAAGTGCATGTACTACGTATAAATAATTCATACATAAACAGCAAAAAATGATTTATGAAACTGGTAATCTAAATGGCTGATACAGAATACGATACCCATGTCTCAGTATGAAATTTATGAACGTATCGAACATAGAAATTCACTAGAATTAGGTTTCTCAATACTTACCATGATTCTACCTGCTTTTAACTTTATCTGCACATTTTTGTTGCTATAACTTTAATAGGTTATTCGACAGCTTTTATTTTTTTGTAGCTTAGATCTTCTGGTAGTGTCGATGATTAGCCTTGGCTATATGACAAGTTAATTTGGTACGTTTTGAAGGCTCTTGTTGTTGGATTTATCCCTATTTTGCAAAATACTTTAGTTCATTCGTTTTAACTTATTCATTTAAGTTAGGATGCATTCATTTATAATTTTGCTTTTAGCACAGATTTGAAGGTTATTTACTTTTAGTCATTGTATACAGCTTTACGATTAATGATATAGATTGTCAACTATAGATCAAACTGAGTGAATCATTACGGATGATTATTTTAATGGTTACTTTTGATTCATTAAAATTTTTTTAACCAACAAAATGTAATTCTTGACTTCCACAGAATACTGAGAACTATGTTTGATCAACCTGTACAATTTATTGTAAAACATATTTCACCTTTATATGTGTAATGAATATTAAATTTGAGTTATTTTCTTTGGAATTTACCAGGAATATATATATGGTACTTATAAGTAGTTCGACCAGAAATACTTATTTTTCAATCAAATGTAAATGTTCCACTCTCTCGAATTATACAAATGACCATGTATGTATAGTTTTAAGTGGTGTAGCAATTTTTTTACTTTACAACCTACAAAAGATAGAAATAATGGTCTCTTTGTCAATTTTTTCCTCCAATCCTTATATCAGACTTTACGTTGATCTACATTTAGCTTGGATACTATTGTCTTCAGTAACAGCAAAGTCCCTTTGATTTTCAAAATTTGACAAACCCTAGACATTTAAGTTTATTTCTCGTACAACAATTCCAAGCCAGTATGATTGGCCCCCTTCAAAAGGTAGTGAATTCCTTTAGTACACTCAAATTTTCATACGTAGTATAACTTCTTTATACTGTAGTTTAACATATGATATATTTTAAATGATTCTATTTTGTTAAATATTAGAGCCTTATAAGAATACACAAAATTACTCATGAATTTATAATTTACCACATACTCATTTATTAAATTGCGCTAATAGATAGCCTCTGCTACATTATAACATGGAATATATATATAGAACAAAATAGTGGTACACTTTCTGTCGACTTGTCATAATTCATTTATTTATAACTTTTATTTCACACCAAACACCATTTTTTGACATCAAACATATGATTCGATAACTGACACTTCGTTAGCGAATACATGATCACTTAAACTCAGTTTATTCCTAAATTTATTTAGTTCTAGCAACATTTTTAAAATTAAATAAAAAGCTCTTCTAAAGCTACTGCCGGTCCCAAGCCCGGGTAAATGAGGAGGGTTAAGCATGGGGTCAGCAATCTTACCCCGCAGAAAACAACCTTGCTAAAAAACAGCGCTAACCAGAATAAACAAATTAAACCATTTATAGCTCTGCCCTGGGAGTTGAAGGAAGAATTATGACACCTTATGGTGAAAACTGAGGTTCTTCCGAGGTCACGAGACCGACGCCCCTTCTAATAATCGGAGGAAGAATTAATATAGGTACATGGAATGTTCGGACGTTGTGGTAGACCAAGAGGACGAACTTGGAATCCTGAAGGGAAACGAAAAGAGAAAGGCCAAAGAACACACTGCGCCAAGATTTGGAGACAGATGTTAAAATAATGAATAGCGACTGGATAGAACTTCCCAGGACAGAGTTTGATGGAGAATGCTGGTGGTGGCTTATGCTCCTTCATGAGGGATAACAGGCGTAAGCAAGTTATATATATCGTTTAAGATTTTCCTACAGTCAAGGCTTAATAAAACCACTAAATATGATCCTGTATTTCACAATTATAAATTTGGTTTCTTTCTCCATTATACATTATAACTAGTCACAAGAAAATTATAGATTGATACGAAAAAGTAGTATCTATAAGTAGAATCCAGGTAATTGTTCATCAAATCGTTACTCACTTTTTATGACCATAATCTTATTTTATGAATTATAGACTGCAATTAACGTTTGATTTTTCTATCGCTAAATGAATATGAGTCCCAAAAGTGTCTCACTGATGTTTCTGTATATATAAAAAGTTGTAGATTGACTGATTCACTATTCAACTACCGAGATAATTAGTCAGTTTCAGTATCTTTCTGTCGACTAAGTAACTCAATGTCAGTTTCATTAATTTCATTCAGAATGTGTGAGGAATTTAGTTTTTCATACTGAAAAATGATGACATAGTCTAGCACCTGGATTATTATATTATTATAAATGTTCGGTTAGTTAGCAATCACATAGCGTAGACAATTATAGAACGATGTTCCTCAAAGAGTATATTTTTATATACACCTATTGATATTTTGGAAAAATGAAGTGAGTGATATCTCTAGTAGCAACTTATAGCTAATTGGTCACGTTAAAATTTTGCGAAGCCATGGTCAATTCCTAGACTTTGTTAGTGTTTTTGGTAGTGTTTGGTTCTATGAACTAAAAGGTTTAATCGACAACCTTTATTGTCGTCACGGTCAACATCATCAGCGCCTACTTCATGGAAAAGTGAGCTTCCGACTATTTTACAAACATGAAGTTAGTCCATTATGATGACCTTGTTTGCTTCTGCTTACTTTCGAGATTTTATCATCTTTAAGTGTCTTTTTGTTCTTGTTGATACTTTTGGTCGGTTAACCTCTGACCGAATGATTTGTCGACTTTTGTCTGTGAATCGACATACTGTATCCCTAAACAATAGTCACCCGCGAAACGTAATCAAATTTGTTCAGCAGATAGACATGCCACAACATAAGCGCCAACGATAACTAGATCATCACAGCATAAATGAAAAAAGTTATAGGAGTCACCACTAAGATTTTGGGGCCTTCTAGAATCATTGTCCCCAACAAGCGAACACAATCAACTCACATTCCATCCAATGAAGACTGTCATACCCAACAGTGAATGAAGATAACTGAAACATTGTATACGAATTCAACAAAAACAATTGCAGAAGACAAAACGTTGGATAAAGTAGATGTTTTCTACACTCATACACAAATACAGATCAGTGGTGATAAAGAACAAGACGCTATCGTTTATTGCATACAGACAACAAGGGATATAGTTTTGAAAAACTACCAAATTTATCAACCGATGAAACTTCAAGAAACCTACAGAAGCACTGCATTCAGATCACTCATCAACCGACAGACACAGAAACAGATCCGATTTGTGAGATCGAACGATCATATGGTCAGAGTTTAGCCGACCAAAAATATCAACAAGAACAAAAAGACACTTAAAGTTGATAAAATCTCGAAAGTAAGCAGAAGCAAACAAGGTCATCATAATGGACTAACTTCATGTTTGTAAAATAGTCGGAAGCTCACTTTTCCATGAAGTAGGCGCTGATGATGTTGACCGTGATGACAATGAAGTTTGTCAATTAAATCATTTAGCTCATAGAACCGAACACTACCAAAGCTATCCACCTGGACTACAAATCTTCACTCATTAATTACTTCACTAAGTATAATTTTAGATTGTTGCAACAGATATCTTTATCCTTACTCTCATTGGCACCACTTCGTAGTGTGTTCTTGCGCAAACGATGCCACATGCAACAAAGTATGTGACAGCAGTTAATGCAAAATTTCCGAATTTATACTGTCCATTTCCTTACTTAGTGTACCTTACTACTGTTATATCTGGAACTTATATTTTCTTTGCTATACCGCTCACAACTTCAGTACTTGAATGCCTGAACCTTCCAAGCCGCAACTCAGAAGACTAGTCGTGAGGAATCTTATTTCAAACAGTGTTAAGTATGGTACAAAATACTCAGGCATTTATAGGTTTTAGTAAAAATAAAATCTTCATTACAGTCATCCAATCCTCGTGCTGTGGTTTTTAGTATTTGTCCGATTGGGAAGCTACGCGTCGAGGTTCTGGAATGTTCTTCCAAAAGACGATTGGATGGATTGTCTTCGGCTCTTTCTGAGCTTCTTAGGACTTCCTTGAATTCACCGAGGGTCGTCCCTACAACTACTTGTAGTGTCGTACCGTGCATGATTAATATATATTTTTCACCAAAATGAAGACATTTGTGACGAAATTTAGACAAATTTACCATTTTTGAGATGCCTCTAACAAAATTTGAAAAGATAAAAAAAGTTAATTTTCATTGTAAGGTTACTATATTAAGGTACAGCTCTAGAATTATAATAGGTATTTCCCTGGTGAAGCAGAAAGTTTTGCTTCTACACAACAAACCACAGCTAGAATTCTAGTAAAAAAATGAACTGAGGTTATCCGCATTGTTTTCAAGGTTCACTAATTACTTCATACCCAGCACTTTCGCTCATTTTTCCGTTTCTTTCGTGAATGAGTGCTCGATATTTGAATTTAATATTTATGAAAGATTTCATTTCAAGTCCTAATTGCCATATATTTATATTTTTCACTTGATATGTCGTACTGGACTACATTTGGCATGTATACTCTAATGTACAGCACTCACCTAATAAATGAACGAAAAAATAACCAAATTTACTAATTATGACATTAAGGAACGTTGAAAACGCTGTAGATAACCTCATCCTGAAAACTTTAAAATTGAAGTAAATAAACTATTTTAATTAAAACGTTTCATTCATTTTTAATTGCCAGTCGCATGTCAAAATCAACAGAAAATGTAGGGAATATTTTAGGCGAATGAATTGACAGGTTGTTTGCATGTAAATGCTCTAACAACCTTCTAAGGTTTCACTCATCATGGTAAATCAACATATCTGTGTGAGAAAAAAGTATATGATCACTTGACGATATGTTTCGACAGAAATCTAGAGCCTGTCAGATCTGTTATATATTCACCAAAAAGTTGATAATTTGTGTACTTACTCGAAGTGATATTCGAGTTAAGAATTTGAAGGGTGCATGACGAAATCCCCTCAAAGAAACTTTTACTCCAGCCATTCGAGCTGACTGTGGTGTTGCTTGTTGTTGTAGACCTATTTTATCACGAAGTTGAAGAAGAAAAAAACATGATAATTAATTTCTGTTTTCAAAAACTGAACTAAATTTTTACAAACTCATGTCATGTGTATACCGTAATGTGTAGATGTAACAGATTTTTAATATGCTTAAGCAATCAATGTTTCTTAGGTTACAAAATATTCAAATAAACTTTTCAAAATATTTTAGGTTGTTACCTTTAGCCATGTAGGTATAAATATTATTTTTACCTTCCATGTTGTGTAACCTGAAAACGTGCATGAACGCAATTTTGTTTCCTTGCTAAAACTAGCTTAACATTTCTACGAAGCCGTTGGTTTATTTAACCACTAAACCGAAATGACTTTCGTATAAATCTACTTTTCACTTGGTGAGTATATTGGGAGTAGGAATTACTGAAAACTCATACAAGGCTAGTCGAAGCTAACTATTGAAACATAAAGTGATAACGTTTTGATCAATGAATACTTTACTTCCAGGATAAATGTGATTTTTAGAATATACCTTGGCAAGATTAAGATAGGGTTCCAGATGTATTCCATCAATTATTCGAGTTTCGACATCGATCTAAGTTAGACAGTATCATGCAGTCTGGGTATTTTATGTATTAAATTTAATCTTTGAGTTTCAAAATCGATAATACATGAAGTAGTAGCATATTTAGTCTATGACATATTTTTGTGCTATTTACAATTTTGATATTCTCTTCATCGTGTTACTGACTTTATCCTGATATATTTTGTACTTACTTTTGCTTTAACCTAATTAATGTAATGAAGGTTAATGTAACCCAATAAATTCGCTAAGTTTTATACTTAATAGTTTAGACTAAATAGATTATATTTAAGAATCGTAAATTCTGCTCTGTTCCCCAAACATCTAGAGATGGGACGGGGCTCGAAGTTTTTACTCAATAACTCGACTTTAAGTTCATAACTGAGTAGCAAATGCATACCGCAACTAAAAATTCTTGCTTACACTTAAATGCTTTTTCGTTTATTGACGTGTTTTCAGTACTAAAACCCCTAGAAACTAATATGTCTACATTTACGATTAGTTAAAAAAATATTAAACTTATTATGGTCACATAAAATTAAGGTGTTTGAAAATTTTGTAAAATCCGAGAAGTCTTATTTTAAATTTAGGAAAATACTTCATGCTACGTGACAGAAGTAGTATTCTAACATACTTAGTTACTTTACCCGAGTTAAGGATCTGAGGTAGCTTCAAAGGGGTCCCAGACGGAGTTGAAAGGTGTCTGAGGCAAAACTATTATTTTATGCATGATGTTTAAAGTTAACTATTCTGAAAACTTAGCTGCCAGTCAGACCAAACAATAATCTACTTTGTCACTCACTGGTTATTTTTTACAGAATGTGACGGTAGTTTTAATAAACTTCTTATGCGTTGTAGTATAATTATTTGTATACATTCGCTTGATCACTAATCAAGACAGGATGACCCGACCGTTGCTGATACCTTGACGTGGTGGTCGGGCTTGCCTATCGTGATGAACCAATCGAGCTATACTGGCTGGAACAATCGTTCCTCAAGATCCTACCATGCCAGGCAGGTTGGTTGAAGAGCAGTAAGACTAAAAGCAGCAAACCCAAGGTCCGAAGGCGATGTCGTACTACTGACTGTACAGAGGTGTGACAGCAGTAAGGTGTTTCCTTCAGACAACCAGCATGACGGCCATGCTGCCTTCCCACAAGGAGGGGTGGGGTTAGAAAAGGTCGACCCTAAAAATGCACACCTCGCCTTATCCCACGGATTTCCGTCTCCGGCCATAAGGTCCTTTGAAGAACGGAGCTAACACGCCAAAAATCCCCCACAAAAAGGCCGTGCGTGACCGGCCTCAAGCAGTTGTCCCTTGGGCACTGCGGTCACGCTCTCAGGTCATTAAGACCACTTCTAACCCAATTTCCTTCTCAGGTATCTATAGAAGAACCCTTCCACGGTGTGGGCAACCGGGAAGTGATAACTGCCCTCATACCTCTAACAGCACTCAAGACCACTATATTCATAATCAATCTCCTTCTTCACTTCCTACTATTCCTTCTACCTCAACTTCCAACACTAAAATTCCTCTTTCGGTTTCCTCCTCAGATGTCACCACAGCCAACAATTCTAGTGCGCGAAACACTGTCCCAGGTCTACTAAAACCTCGCTCCAAACTACACATTGAAGCCTTCAACGTACGTACCCTAAGCCAAATCGGTCAACAGGCCTCCTTGGCTATGACCCTAGAATCTCGTACCACCGATGTATGCTGTGTCTCCGAAACACGCATACAGGATCCCAGTATGGTCATTCACTCGACCTCACCTCGCCAAAATGGACAGCCAACGAAATACACCCTCCGTGTATCTGGCGACCCCATGACTAGTTCTCGTGGACTTGCAGGTGTAGGCATAGCACTTAGTACGAGGGCAGAACAAGCACTACTAGAATGGATCCCCGTTAACAGTCGCCTGTGTGCTGTCCGGTTAAACGGCTCCGTAAGAACTCGGAAGGATAGGGACACACGTCAATGCCTTTTCGTCGTTTCTGCCTACGCTCCCACTGACTGCAACCCTGATGAAATGAAAAATGACTTTTACAGAAAGCTAAGCGTTCAGACATAGTACTCGTAGCGAGTGACTTTAATGCCCAGGTAGGCAGCTTAAATCAAACAGAAAGGCATTTAGATGGGTATTTTAGTATTCCGGCTCAACGAACCGATAATGGTGATCGTCTGCTGCAACTATGCTCAGACAATCGTTTATTTTTAGCAAACACTAACTTTAAACATAAGGAAAGACATCGCCTAACATGGCGACCACCTGCACCAAACCAACGATGGACTCAAATAGACCATATTGCCACCAGTCATCGTTGGAGAGGCTCGATAGAGGATTGTCGCTCGTACTGGAATACTTGTTTAGACTCTGATCATGCTTTATTACGAGCACGCGTTTGTCTGCACCTCACTGGACGCAGGGATTAGTCTGACTAACATAGCGTCTAAAATACTAGCCTCAATAATTATCTGGCGCCTAACTAAGACTCGTGAACTGCAAACACGAGAAAATCAGGCTGGTTTCAGACCTGGTCGTGGTTGCATCGACCACATATTCACTATTCGCCAGGTCTTAGAGCACAGACATGTTTATCGGCGTCCGACAATGATAGTTTTTCTTGACCTGAAAGCAGCATTTGACTCTGTAGATCGAGAGGTTCTGTGGCAGTGTTTGTCATTGAAAGGTGTACCTCAGAAGTACATAGACCTTGTGAAGGCTTTTTACTCGAACACTACCAGTCGAGTGAGAGCTTATGACGAACTGTCATCTTATTTTTCAACCTCAAGTGGTGTCCGACAAGGCTGTCCACTATCCCCATTTTTGTTTAACTTCATTATAGACATATTGCTGGAAATGGCACTGTCTTCGACTGAATTTTCAGGAATTGATCTTCTAACAGGAGGTCCACTAATCGACTTAGAATACGCAGATGACATAGTCCTGTTTGGTGAAGACGCTGACAAAATGCAGAATCTTCTGTTAGAACTGAGTAATAATGCCAGGATGTTTGGGATGCGTTTCTTCCCATCTAAATGTAAATTGTTACTCCAGGACTGGCCTGCATCAACACCTGAACTAAGGATAGGAAGTGAAGTAATCGTACGCGTGGACAACTTCACTTATCTTGGAAGTCTGATCAGTCCTAGTGGGTTGGTGTCTGACGAAATCTCTGTACGGAATCAAAAAGCCCGTTTGGCTTTAGCCAACTTACGTCACCTATGGCGAAATCGAAATATTCGTCTATTAATTAAGGGATGAGTATACTGCGCATCAGTTCGCTCTGTTCTACTTTACGGCTGTGAAACATGGCCATTCAGAGTTGAAGATACTCGTAAGTTACTAGTATTTGACCACAGATGCCTTAGAAATATTGCTCGCATCTGCTGGGATCACCGGGTAAGTAATAGTGAGGTTAGACAGAGGGCATTAGGGAATGATGGTAAACTAGTTGATGAGGTCATGAATCTTCATCGACTGAGATGGTTGGCCCACGTGTTACGTATGCCTGAACACCGATTACCACGACGCGCTATGCTGACTAGTGTTGGGGATGGTTGGAAGAGAGTTAGCTGCGGCCAAACCAAAACATGGCATCAGTGTTTGAAGTCATTAACTTCTAGTCTGAGCCATGTTGGCAGATGCAGACTACTTAGTTGGGGTCCGCGTGACTATCGTAACCAATGGTTGGAGACTCTGAGTGACACGGCTCAGAATCGATCACAATGGCGTAGGTGTATACACTCTTTTCTTCCCATTAAACCTTAAGATTAAAATTGCTTCATATCTCTCTTCCTTCCTATACTATATCCTTTTATACAACCTATCTTTTAAATACTACTACCACTAAATTAACTATTCCTATGAATCCGGTGTTGATCTTGTTGTGCTAACGATACATGGCAACTTGGACCGATGCATAAATATGCCTGGTCCTACGTTGTGACTGACTGACTGAAAGACAGGATGGAAGTTGATGAAGACAAGAGCACTAAACTGGCTAGATGGGAACCTGAATAAGCAGCACATATGTATAGTAGGCTACCAAAGTGACATCGATGCTTAATTTTTATTAAAACTAACGAAGTTAGCATAAAAATGATAAGTACCTATAGGAGTGTTTTTTAAGGGTATCATTTATTGCTATACGATTATATGATTGATTAATCTCACCTGCTCCAACAGAAAATGATGCTTCAAGTTCATCAGTCGACTGTCCAGAAATTAAAACTCGAAGGAAACGAAATATATTATCATTGTAAAAGAACTGAACGGAAAGAAGGATATTTTTAAAATTATTTTACACAAAAGCTTTGCAAATCGTTAAGTATATAATTTTAATGTAAGTTCTTTAACATTGTGTTGTAAAACTGAATTAACTATCCCATGACTATATTCCTTATAAATCCTTTATTCTGTTATTTTGAACCATGTCTATATGTTCGTTTTAAATGAGTAAAGTTCGTAAATTAGATTATTTACAACTATGATTCTGCATTTTATTTGTTTCCATATATTGTATCCGCAAGCCACGAAAAATTGACTTATGAAATTAGCAAGGTTATTTTTTTCTTAGAATAAAAAAACGCCTAACTTTCCGTTCTGTATTCAGTCTTCTAAATATACTTCACTATATACGTTTCGTAATGACTAGCGGCTAAATTGATAATGAGCAATTTTTGTTATTTTAAAAATTCAGCACTTATGCATAAATTTTATGGGATTATTTCAAATAATTAGACACTATCGTCTACGGGGTTACAGTAACAACAAAGTTTACTCCATCAGTTATTACGAAATACAATCGAGATGTTATTTGTTAAATGAAAGCATTTACAGAGAGTATAGACTAACAGACATCCAATAGTTCAATCGTACAAATTAACGAAAAAAACGACTATGAAGTACTGCAATGAACAATTATGGTTTAATACTACCGTTAGAAACTATCATCGCTTGTCGTAACGATACCAGAGGAAAAGAGCATTTGTAGCAATCTATTCATTTCAAATTTTACTTGTTACCTGTAAGCATTAAAATGATCACTATACTTCCAAACTACTTGAATTCACCCTAGTGGCTGTTAGTTTTGTTTTATCGAGAAATAAGTGGATTAAAAATACAAATAATCCATTGAAGTCTGAATAAAATTTCTTAAAAACCATGTGTCGATTGAAGTAATACAAAGTTCCAGCCATTAAAATTAAACACAATAATTCAAGTAAAATAGATTTATTAAAACTTCCTGAATTCCTTTATACCATCTTGGAAATAGTCTTCAAGCATAATTTGAAGAAAAATTATGGATTTGATCATGATTCATTTCTCAGTACTTAATTGCTTGCAATTATCATGATAATTCAATTTACTGATAAAAAGGTCAAAACCCCTAACCAACTGAATATATACATTGTAATTGTCTATTAAGATTAAATATTCATAATATCCAATTACTAATATACATTGTAATGCTGGTCGGCGGCCTATGCTCCATTGGGAGTAACAGGCGTAAGTAAGTAAAGTCAGTAATATACATTGTACATTACTGATGTTTATCTATTTACTAAATTGTCAATCATTTTCTTAATTTACAAAATTTAACCACTTACAGAACTCAAACAACTATATAGTAAAGTGTTGCTAAAAATAATCCCCCGAGCAAATGGTTCACTAAACCATACTGGTAATTTGTAATCATTTTCATGTATGTCACCTGAACTGAATAAGTAGGCATTTTTTTCATAATCTAAAAAATATAAAATGAAAGGAAAATGTATATGTGTGTATATACTGGTTAATGATGAAAAATTGAGATAATTCAAAGAAATCGAATATTTATTAAGGTTATATTTCAAAAATATGTGCTATTTCCTAGGCAATTTTCACCATAAACTGACTTTGGTGCTGTGAATTCATCAGCCTATATATTATGTGCTCAGTTCTATTTGGTGTAATGGACACCCATAGTTGAGTAGTCAATAACTAAGATGAAATAGATGTTCAATGTTGCTTTTTGTCCATCGGTTCTTCACTAATGTCTGTTAGTGATGAAAATCAAATACAAAAATAAACATGTTTAATCTGCTATTCTAGGCCAGAAAAATGTAAAAAAAATAATTATTGATATACTGATCAAAGCAAGTATCATGTCAAACTGGTGTGTATCATAATATGTTATTATATTAACGAGAAGTCAAGAGTTACGTTAGATACAGTAAAAAATTAGGCGTCTAAATATCAGTAAACTGTTATGTAAAATATATAAACCTCTAACGGAACAGACGTTATTCAGTGTTGATTTGGTCGTTTACAAACTGAGGTATTTTCATGTTCACTAACGAAACCAGTAAATGACCCTATCTTTTAAGAAATAGTAAGGTATAGACTATCTGTTAAATAGATTAATATGTTTTTGGTTCATTTTAAATTCAATGTTAGGGAAGTTTTACCTAATGTGTTCGTGTTAAAATTCATAATTTTGAACTTAAATTATCGATAACCACTTATCTATACAAGATCAAACTTTAAATCTTTACTGATCAGATTTTCAAACTATTCCATGTGAATCGTTCCATAAAAGTTTTAAGATCATTAAATACCAAAAAATTCCGTTTTTTATTTGAATATCATGATTACATCAGTGCCATTTCCAACAGTATCCATACTACTAAATAAAAAATATATGAATTTTGATTCTTTTTAATTCATACATTTAAAAAGTTTCATTTCACATCTAATTGAAATATTAAACATTGGAATTACAATTAGCAAAGACGTTTCAAGATGCCTTTGACAGTTAAGGAACTATGTGGATTAAATTGCATACTTTTGTCATATTTTAAATAAACCTAATAGACATACGTAATTCTGTTGTTAAATGGACCAAATGTTGTTCCTTTTGTAATAATGATCGAATATTCATTGCGCATAATAATGTCACTCTGTCTTGAAGACTTGGATCAACACATTGTGAATGAGGCTCTTCTGCACTGTAACCAAGCACTACACAAGCATTACACTGACATAAATGTACTGAGTGTAGGTCATTAAAACTACATGGATCACCCTGTGAAAAAAGAAAAAGACAAAAGTGAACATTTCGAGCTTGAAAAACTAGCCATTTTTAAGTTTAATAAAATTTGGTGAGTAACATTAGATATATCTGTCAGTATGGGATTGTGGAAGTGGTTGACTTTCATTGAAATCATGGACTGATCTGAGTTAGACCACTATTAAAAACCTGAAAGCACTGGGCGGCTGTTTTATCTTAGTATGAAATTCCCCATCAGTGCCCATCCACGACTCCCCCCCTAGGTGGGAATCAACCCCAGGACCTTCGGTCTTGCTCCCGAATGCTTAACCTACAGAACACTGGGGTCGGGGATCTGGACTGCTAAGGACGAAATGGCCATCCAGTTCCCCTAGGTTCCCAATGGTGGTCTAACTTAGGTCGGTTCGTGATTCCAATGAAATTGGATATATCTGTCATTCGTTTCATTTTCTTCTATTTGTTTTTATCAACTCGACTGTCAATGAGATCACTTATAAAAATGTATTCCCAATAGGACGTAATAAGTATTTTGAAAATATATTCTGATAAACTAGTCATGATTATGAAACAAGAATCTTGTTAATTTGAGAGGAAGGCCTATTGTTCCATTTAACTCGTCTCCCCAAAACTCACTGAGAGATTATTTAAGGGTAGTAAATAAAACAACACTTTTTTTTACTTCTAATTAACCGAACAACATCTGTTCATACAGTCTGACAAGAAAACAAATAGCTGACAACTATACTGTTTGATTTGCAAGAGCATGAAAAGTACATTACTGAACAAACGAAAATAAATAACCATTCCACTGCTAACTAACTAAACTTCTGAATCCTTTATAAATTGAACATCCTGTTAGGCTGGTAAAGTGTTTCCAAATTTACTGATGTAAATCAATCAACAAGTTTTAACATAGGTGGATTACCTTTGCAGATTTATGATACTACTCAATACACAAAATTGTCAAGTTAACCAAATAAACCGACTGACTTAATTTTGTTTTTTATCTAGTTTGTGAATTTTGCTTGTCAGTTGAAATTATTGACACACGAATTTCCGCGCCAAATCAGTTTTCGCTCATGTAAATCCATGGTTAATAGAATATGAATATAACATATAACACTTATAAAACTAAGCTCTGGATGAGTACCACTACATAAATAGTAAGAAATAATTAAACCTATGTTTTTTTGAAAATAAATGACATCTAGCCTAATAATGAATGTTGGATGTAACAAGATTTCAAATCTAGGACAAATGGAAAGTCTACTGATAAACATTAAAAACTATCGAATGAGAATTTTACCATATTTTAGTGAGAATGAAATAGCCACAAATGTATTCAACAAGACCTGACATGTATTCAAAAAATACTGATTACAATTATAATTTACATGTAAGGGTTTGCATTTTCTCGCAGTTGGTGTTAAGAACTGTAACTGATCAGTCTCTTTCGGCATATGTACATTCTTAGTAAAGTACTTCGAGGCACTCAACTGAACATATTTTGTCTTTATACTTTTTGATCTGATAATGTGTATTTGCAGTCAAACTAAAGTTTTTGTTTCAGTATCGTTGTGTGTGTTTAAATCCTCCCAAGAGCCACCTATTTGCTATTTTGCTACTTTCTGTCTGTAAATTTGAATTTCTGTTTTTCTAGAGTCGACATTTCACCTGCGTGACATTATTACCTCGATTACAGAAAACTTCTACTTACTAGTCCGTTGTCATTTTAGAATGCTATTTTCCCGTCATTTTTTCAGAGACATTGTCAATGCGTCTGTATACAATAGTTCCTTGCAAGACCAGATAATTCCTTATCTTTTTCAATAAGTCTTCAGCGTAAGATTTGTCATAAATAATTCGAGGCTAGCAAAACGATAAGCAGTTTTTTATCCTGTTTATCGATATGGAGACTAGGAATTATTCATTGCATGGAGAATTTGTATCACTTGTGTTACCTGAGTTAATTTAGTTAAATCAAATATCAGTTAATATTTCTGTATTTTAAACAAGTTATTCCGTATCACGGCAAATCACTTAGTTTTCATGCAAAGATTTGCATAACGCATTGTTTATATTGAGTACATTAACTAGATTGGATTTATTCGACTGTAATTAGTGTGGTATATTTAATTAGAAGGATCTAATCAACCATAGGCATGCCTAGATACTTCTAATGTATAGTTTTTCCTTTCAAATTTTTCTTATGATTGTAAATTATAAAAAAGCTTACAGGGAAAATTATATTCTAAAGCATAATGATTTAAACACTAAAAATAATTCCACTAAGTTCCTGATGGTAGTGATCGGAAACCAGGTCATTTTGTCTCGTCACCTGTAACAAAGTAACAGACTATTTCATCGTATTTGAATATAAATTATAACATACATGGAACTCCGAAATGTATGTCGAGTCTGTAATTTAGAGGTACTCTTTAATATACTACAATTATTCTTGATTAATTTCTAACTCAAAAACTAGAGCACACTTTTTGTTTAGAATTCGCGTAGTGTCATTTTCGTTAATGGAATATCATAGGTAGTGACAATTTTTAAAATAAAATTTTAGTGAAGACATTTCACAATATTTTTAAACGACCCAGATCTTATAGCTATGGAAGATATTTCCATGATCAACTTACGTCGACGATAAATATTCTTGGAAGATTTTTTAATTTCACCCATTCCAACGGCCCAATTAAATGACTATCTCCTAGAATCACGATATCTCGAACACGCTGCCAATGGAATCGTAGTGGCATGATGAAATTCTCCAGATTAAGAGGACCGTTTGTTGATTTTCCAGCAACACACACAAGGAAATGTCTGCTAAAATTCAGGCTTGCCGCTTGATTTGGACTCTTTAACAGATAAAAATAGCAAAATGATCCGAAATAATTGTAAATGAAATCTAAGCCGATACGATTGGAAAACTTGTAATACCAAATAGAATAAACCAGTCCAATCTGAAAGTGAGTTATACTGATAACACTATTAAAATATTTGCATTTATTTGATACAGTATGTTTCACTTCATTCCCACAAAATAACACAAACAGTGAGACTGCTTCAATAAAACCTCATTACGTCAAATTTTGATATGAAATGCAGTAATTTTTTTAGAAATTAAGTCTCTTAATTTTACCATTAAAAATGGTTAGCAGTATGAAATAAATTTTAAAAGTGTAGCACAAGTTTTGGATTAGCCAGAAACGAAAGTTACTTGAACTGATTTCGTAAAACAGTATAAGAACTTTCGTCTAAATTAGAGCGAATAGTTTCACAGTATTTGGGCGCCGAGTTGATGTAAGACATTAAATAGGAATAATATATTTGTGAAATCTCAGCGAATGAATTTGAAGTAAATCCAACGTTTCCTTGAAAAAGCTTGGACCAGATTGCCAGGCGAAACGTTAGATTTACTTCAAATTCATTCGCTGAGATTTCACAAATATATTATTCCTATTTAAAGCAATTTAACAGGTTTTCTAACGACTGGTAGATATAATTGTGATTTAATTTAGATATTTTATATTCGATAGAACAATAATTAAAATCTTCCGTGGTTGGTGTATCCGAAGTTAAGGCTGGGAACAACAGGTCATTTTCGAATCATGAATCTACTATAGAACCTTAGTATTTTTCTATTGAATAATCAGTAAACCTAGTACTATATACACGAGCACTTACCAACGTGGCCCTTGTTAGGGGTATATCTGGTACCCAATGAAATGATCCAGTACGATCTACTTGTGATGAATGTGATGGAGTTCGTATTGGAGAATAATTCATACACCTTGCTGGAATATTATTTGGAAGTCCTAAATTTCTTGAATTTATGTCCATTTTTCTTGTTTCACTTCGCCCACGAGGTTGATCAAATAGTAAATTTCTTGTATCATGTAATAAATTAGGTGATGTCGCAGTAAATGAATGACGAAAAAAGTGTGTAGATCTAGTATCATATGACCATGTTTCACTATAAACGAAAGGATAGATATATTTCAATGTAAACATGCATATATACTATCTTTATCAATTCAAATTGTTTAATAAAAAAATTCGTTCAAATATGCAGCCATTAAAACATTGTGCACAATTTATCGTGAATAATAAAAAAATGTTTAATAGTAAACGGTTCAAGTTAATTAAATGACGTTTTGAATTTGGGCTACATAATTGATGGTTCCTTCATCCATTTTGTTATTCACAAATTAAACAAACAGAATCATATTCTCTGACAAATAATAAGACTAGTAAGTAGTTCCTTTCATCAATTACTCATTCGGACACATTGTTATAGCTGTTGATCTTTACTGTAGGATATCATCTCTAATGTATGCTTTACTAGACTCATCTCAGTTTAAATGTATTTGAAGTCATACTATTCCCTACACTTTCTTTTATTATGTTGAAACATAGACTAGCAATACTGTGGTTTTTGCCAGTATTCTATGCTTTGATAGTTACTTCCATACATTGCATAATTATAATATTCGTGTAAGTTTTAGATCTCCATCATGAATACATTTTATCTACTTGAAAAAATTAGTATCTGTTAGAACACAAATCATTGCTTAGATTTTACTAACCATCTGTATCACGTCTTTTTTCTTTTTTTTTAGATCAGGTTTTTCGAAATTATCGCCTTTCCTTTCCTCATACTAATACTTTTCATTTCCACTTAAAAAGTATATTAAAAATGTCAAAAACTTATCTTTCATAATGCTTACCTCTTGATTGTTAAATATAAAGGATTGTTTTCGATGTTAATTGATGGACACAGTTATCTTAATCAGCAGAATAATGACTTCTTTGTCTTTATTATAATTAGAACTTACAAAATAAATAAGTGAACAAGAATATTGCGGTTGCTTAGACAAAAAGCTCATATAAATATTATTCTTAAATGATAAACCTAATAATTCAGTAAAACTAAGGTTTTATTTTGTTCTCTTACTGAATTACGCAATTTTAGTCAACAGTTATTTTTAATGATTTAATATCTTCACAAAAGATAACATTGCATACTACAGAAACGGCAGTATTAGCTCAAAGATTATTGTTGCAATAGATTTATTTCTTTTGAGATTGTTTTATTAGTATAATCCACTTTATATCAAGTAACAATTTCTAACTGGCCAATATTAAACTGAATTATTAGTTTGTGTAAATGTATTTATAGCAATTTTTATCAGGACAAATACCTACATTTACATACAGATTTATTTAAATAGGCTTACGCTTTAACAGCATTTTCTCTGGCTTTCCCAATTTGTTCATACAGTGCTAAGTCTAAAATAAGATAGAATAGGTCAATAATTCAAATAATTTCCTGTGAAAAAGTAATGCAAAGAAGCAACAACTTTAAAAGTTAGGTAGTTGTTCTGTCAACATAATAAACCATACCGACATCCACTGAAAACCAGAAAGCTCTGGACAACCGTTTCATTCCAGTTTGGGAGTTTCCAGTGCACACTGAAGTCCTTAGAATGAAAGATAGAACCGAAGACCAATGGTTTCTCAATGAATGCTTAACCTTTATGTTACTGGTTTGGGATAATGTTCATGTGTAACTTCGGTCAATTCGTGATATTTTGTGATCACGTTCTACTTGCTGCTGTAGATAACATTGAGATGCGATTCTAGGAGTTCTCGTGAGAATCTGTGATAAGTGGAGTTCAATTATGTTGGGTATGAGATAGTTATTCACAACAGGCAATGGGATGTGATTACAAATTGATTGAAGTTACACATGTACACCATCCCAACCCAATAGTATAAAGGTTAAGCATTCATTGAGAAACCATTGGTCTTCGGTTCTATCTCTCATTCTAAGGACTTGAGTGTGCACTGGAAACTACTAAATCGGAACGAAACAGCTGTCCAGTGCATTCTGATTTTCGGTGGCTGTCTACCTGAAATCAGTTCGTGATTTTACTGTTGCTGGAAGTTGTTTAAGTTTCCGCTATACTCACAAAATGCTTATTAGGCACTTGCGGAGGAACCAGAGGGACGACTATTGAAACTGAAGGATTGTATTTGTTCTGGTGTTACATTTATTCTCTACTGATAGTGATAAAACAGTTAGTGACCTAAAATTGTAAGCAATAAAAACTAATATCTTATATTTCATTGTCAGCTTTCTTTATTTATAAAAAACTTCATCTTCCAAATCAGCTCTCTTAGGTAAAATAAAGAGAAGCCATAATAAATTGTTGTGGTATAAAAAAGAGCGATCCAGTTCGGAGAGAAAATCAACAATATTATATTTCAAATGTTGGCTATTGGGAGAAATTAGAACGTGCTATGTGTCCCATATAGGACTCATCCGCTCGATTTGTGTATCTCAGTTTAAATTTACACGGCCTCGAAACCAGTAACCATGCCCATGTAGCAGCAGAGAATGATCTCATGTGGTCCTGAATGTTGAAAACTGGGAAATAAAAGCTCTCACTAATAACGATGAATAATACTATTATTTGTCTCAAAAGAACTACCGATTTTTTTGATAGAAGGTCCTACATCTTCATTATTCAAAGACATTCTGGATAGTTTATGAAATTTCTCATTTCATTTCATAAAAAACTGGATGTTATCTTTCTGTGAATAGTTGCTGACAGCCCAATAGACTATGTAGTTCAGTATTTAACTCTTCAGTAGTATGAAGAAAATTAACTGAACATTATAATCTCACAAAAGCTGTCACTTTTCTAAAGTAAAAAATCTATTTGCCTCTATAGGTCTGCCTTAAATTTCTGTTTATCAACCTTTGACAAAGAAATATCTATCTCACCTCTAGCAATTGTTATCTTTCTTCTTTTTTCTAACACAGGACGACTACATCTGCATGGTTGACCAATTAAGTGTCCTTCACATGTTACGCAATAATACTGCAAGCTTATTAACATTTGGAAAAATAGCATAAATTGGCCATTACTTTAAGAAAGATTATATTTGGATAATATAATTCAAATGTGAATTAATTTTAATTACTAAAGATAAATAATAATAACTTTTCTATTAAGGAAACTCATATTAGAGAAATGAAATAAAACTCTCATGGATTGTATGAAAAGATAAGGATGAGAAAAAACATTAAAACGATGTGTTGACTTTAGAAAGCTTCCACGAACTCACTACCTTCAAGCGAAATTGCTTTGGTTTTGGTTAAGTGATTCGGTACAAACTGAAGGTGAGCGATCTTAAGGTTGGAATATGGTAATAGGTAGAGATAGTAAATAAGCTGGTATGGTAGTAAATTTCCATCAACTGAGGTATTTGGGATATATATTACTTATTCTTAACTACCGCATACCGCGACGGGCAATATTGTTTGATGTATCAATAAGCTGGAAGAAAGTAACGAGTCGAAAAACCACTATGAAACATCAGTTCATGATGCCATGAAAATTAGGTTGAGGCGTGGAGTTAAGTACAGACTATGTGTTTTGGGCCAGGGTGATTATGGTAGCCAATGTTTGGAAACATTGGGCAAAATGCATCAGAATCATTCCTTTTTTATCTTCTCTTAGATCCCAAGTCTTGAAATGATCTTATGGTCTTTCTACTCCATGAATCATAACTTGTATGCCTCATATTCTCTACACCGATATTATTACTACTTCAGCCACTCTGGAATTTACCATGATGATCTCTTCTCATTATGTTAATGTGGAGCGGGGACAAACGGGTATACTTGACTAATAATTAGTATTACTAAAATGTGGAATGGTCGATGTTACAAGCTTGATAAATTTATATGGAGGTTGGAATAAATTTATACAAGAACCTTCCGATTCTGATTTCCGGAAATAAAATAACATGTATCTGCAATTAAACTCTGCTTGCTGAAGCATCTGTATGAAATGTTGATAGCCTAGACTGTAATATGTCAAATACTCCAATTGAATATTCATAGTCATCATTATGAAGACTAGTTAGAGATGAGTATATATATATATATACCCAAGGTCAAATTCATATTGTGTCAAATAAGACTATTATCTATCGATTGATTTTTCCTTTTGATAGCGTCTCTGTATCTTGCGCTGCACTATTTGCTGTTAACGGTTTAGATTCCGTTTCTTATAACAGGTGTTATCACTGTATTTCAAGTTTTTCACCACAATCGGCCATACTTTTAACTTGATGTATTGATTGAGTTTACGTTTTGTATTTAGTGACATTTATGCTCCTCATAACGTCGTTGTGATCACCGCATTAAGAACCATTTAATTTGGTTGAGTTATTTACTTTAAAAATGTTAGCACAAAATTTACTTTTGTTAATTTTTAACAATACTGAAACGATGCAACTATGATCTGCTTGCCAACTTACTACTTCAGGCAACATTGATGTTTCTCAGTTATTTGAAAAAGTGACTTTCATTTGACTGCAACCCTTACAGTTTAAACAACGCTTTTTATATGTTGGTTTTGTGAATTTCGGTTCCACTATTCTATAATACCGCTACCTTATTTCTAAAAATTAATTATGCTTTCACATGCAGCTGGATGGTTAAGTTGAGATCTTGCCACGAATGCTGTCGTTTATCTGAGAAATAAAGATCATTAATATACAAATCATCTGTAGCTTTTAAGTTTCTAGACGTTAACTATGATCTAGTCAATTTTCTACCATTAATTTATTATATAAACACAGGTGATAAACTTTGAAAGAATGATCACTCTTGGTAAGCAATCTAAGTACTTGATTATAGGATCATATAATTCTAAACATGGTTGTGGCTTCAATAAAATTATAAAAGACCAAAGTAAATCACCTACTTTAAAGCAGAACTATAATCACTAGATATAACTATAGCGCGCATTGAATTATTATTCACTGGACAGTTTACTTCAATTGGGTTTATAAGTATAGAAGATTTTTCTAGCCCATTGATACGTACGGCTAGTAGAATAAGATTCCACTTTTCATAGACAAAACTGAAACATAGGAAGATAGACAGAGAGAGGGAGCGAGAATGAAAGGCTATAGGAAAGAGGAGAAATACCTCATACATGATCATATAGATTGAAATCACAGCTGAAAACGAGGGCGAAATAGGTGTCTACTGCTCTCTGGTTTTGAATGAATCTTCAAATGATATGTATTTAAGATAAAAACTGTCTTGCCACGTAACTGCCATTCACAATACATTTAACTAAATAATTTTACTTTATTAAAATGCATGGAAATTAATACCATTTTTTAAATACAATATATATGGGCCTGGAAAAGATTATTTGATAAAGTAGTGAATTTTGTTTCCCACCAAGTCATACAAATCTACCTCCTAGATGACAGAACAATCAGTAAACTAAAATTTAAGGTTCCTAAATTTTTTAGTCTGTGGAAGTATGTTCATTTTGGAAGTAGTTTTCATTACACACTGATATTGATGAGGAAACCGATAAAAACTAGGAACAACTGGACAAGTATTTCATCCTAGTTTATTGCTCGCCATCACTGGCACTTATAACTTCATATGAGATTGAAACTAAGACCTTCGGACCTTAGGGTGAACTCAATCCCAATTAACTATTGAATCTAATCCAGTTATTAGCATTATAACTTCATTATTTATTCTGGCTCCTATTATGTTTATGGTTTTGTACATTTTAAACTGGTTGCACTGTAAATATACCACAAAATATGGATACTAAGACAGTCTCTTGTAGCAAATCTTACTATTGAAACTCAAAAACTTTTTGACTTGAATAAATAAACTTGGTACGGAACTTTTTATAATAAGCTGATTTCATCCGTCCTAGTATGTTTAAGTAAACGAAATTGGTTGACAGCTGAGTCGTCAGGTATTCATAACCAATCTCATGATTCTGCATCTAGACGCACAAGTGTTTCGAATTCTGAGCACCACAAAACACTAAAAGGTAAATGAAAATATCTTGATATCTTTTTTGTTGAGACAAAATAAAGGTGAAGGGGCGCTTGCTTCATAATAACTTGTTCAAATCAATAGGCTTTGGTCGATCTTAATTACCAAACATACAACTATTTCTGTAAAATAAAAAAAACCTAAATAGCGTTAGAATTTATTAACTGATTACAACGATGGACAGCTTAAGACGTTTAAGAACAAGTGATCTCTGGGATAACAAATCTACTCGAACATGTTATATTCTTCATGTAATTACATTGTACTTTGGTATTTTATAATTTAACGTATCATTCAAATTCAATTGATATTAAGTGGTTATTTTTTGGTTTTTATTTTGTTGGCTAACCACTGGGATTTTATTATTTTGTTACATAAAATGTTCATTCTCACACTAACCGTTTTTTGTTTTTTGGATTAGTGCCGAAAATAATCATGTCTACATCAAAATCCTCCAATAGCTAAAAAGTTCGATAATCAGAAATTCACTTGTATATTCTATAAATATTCTAATATTTGTGTTATGAACAGTAATTTATTTGTTTTCTTATGCAGCAACAGAACGATCTTACTATTAGACAAGTTTATAACATCATCAATCACAACTGCTGTATAATAGCACTTTCACGAATTTAAAATTGGTTATTAAGATCTACTTAGCTAACTTGAGTGGGTATTAAGCTGTGAAGTGATTCAAATATTTAAATCCCACTGTTTATTTTCATCTTTCTTATAAGTGAGTTAATATTTCTCACTCTACCATTGTGGTGGATTTGACTCACAAGATTGCTTGTAAGTACTACATAACAGAACGTGGTGCTGAAGTTGGTACAGTCGTCAGACGAAGAGAATAATTTCAGTACATCGGAAGCACGGCGCAGGCAGAACATATGATGACCAGTCGAAAAGACATTTCGGATTACAGAACACACCGCAAGATGCAACTGAATGATTGAAGGTTATGTACACTTGATATATAAATGCTTTGTAATTTGCTTTTAGTCTTCATTCGGATTATCGCTTCTCAGCCAGGAACACTACTTTCCGTGAGTCATTAAAATATGCCAACAGACCTTGTACATTAACCAGTGTTACTTTCAGTAGATTAGTGACTCCCACTACCTAGGTTGATATAGGGAAACTAATCGATAATGGAAATCTAAATGTAAACTTACATAGCTAAATCTCTAATAAATAGGTTTGAAAATTCATGACTAATACCGACATCATGTAGTTGCATTCGAAATCCATACTCATATTCTATCCTCCAACGTTCATACTAAAAAAAGCCGAAGTATAAAAGATAGGTAAACAGTATAAACAAGTTAACTCTCAAGTACTATTGTCTTTAAATGTATTTTTTCCCATAAGTGGTTTGATAACCTAAAAAAAGATTGTCTTGTCAATAAAAATTCAGTTAAGTGCATAAACCAAACATAGATTTTGAACAAAGAACCTAATATGACAGGCGTGTTTGCTATAACAATCCTGAACTCCGATGAGTAGACTTTCAAACTATAGAAATATCACAGTAATAACACTAAACATTAGGAAACTCTAATAAAATTCTAATTTTCAAGATGGAGAATAAAGATAAAATTGCAAAATTTACTATGAGTATATAAATAGCACAAGAGTGGATCAGGTGTGAGCACCAGCAGTTAATTATTACCAATTTATACACTGTTTCCCTAAGTTACTATCTACTGAGCATATTTAGTAAAACCAGTTTATTCGTTAAGTAACTAAGTAATTAGCAAGTGTATGTTGCTATTATATCCATCACTTTTGAGAATTGTATTTCTAGCTGCAAGTACAAGTGTGATGACGTACGTTCATTTTAATGAACAACTAATGGTGAGAATGTTTTATTGATGTCATTTAGACCTTGTTATTATGTGTCAGTGAACAGTTGTTTCTCACACAAATTAATGATTCATTTATACGCTAATTTGTCGTTAAATGGTATATGATGCTAAGGTTGTCTAGTTCTTAGTGGCGTTTTAATTCTGTCGATCAAGTCGCACTGCAACTACCATGTTATGCAACAATTGCATCATTTTTTATGATTGTGAGATTTTATGTTTAATACACTTCCTATGGTTTGTCTCTAACCACTGAATATGAATTTCATGTTTTTGAAATGCTTGTCACCAACTGTGTACTTCGATAGTCATTTCTAATAGAAAATGATAAATATCTGGCTTTCAAGATTTAATTTTTAACTAATTAACATTTTATACAACTTGATGGTGAAACGACTCAAAAATTAATTTCATATAGATAAGAGTCAAAAAGTGTCTTACTTCAAATATTCTTGGTTTGCTTCCATGTGCATTTAAAAGATTTACAATCAACGTTGAGAAACCTGGTGCTAAACAATTGTACGCCATTAAACCTAATTTTAGTTCTTCCATGCAAACTACCATATCGTTGGCTAAATATGTCCAACGTGGAAAATTATTCATTAAACACTAAAAATAAATAAATGAGAACGTACAAAATGATATATGACTTACAAAAAATAAAATTTGCAGCATTTCATAGATTATAAAACATGCAATAATAATGAATTTCTGTTAAAATAGGTTTATAGTCTTGTAAGAATTTCATCGGCATTACTGAGATTTGAAACATGTAAAGGAACAAGAATGTTAAAAATTGTTGTAGTGATTTGTGATCATGAGAATCATTTAGTTGAATTTTTATGGATTCCCTGTGTATAAAAGCCGATATTGAATTCTCTTGAAATACTATGATGGAATAAACTGTCATTAAATATCCTAGCTCTATGAATTACGTGGCTACTGGTTTTGAAATGTGACAGAATTGAGCTCCATACTTGTTTAGTTTCCTACTTTCGAGAGCAAGAACAGTGATGTATACAAATTCATAAACTGAATTAAGCAGATGTGCAGCCGACAGTTAATTGGTAAATACATACATATGAAGATGATGAAATTGTTCTTTGCTTGGGTAGCCACTTTCGGATGAATAGTAATCATCAACAATAATAAACTGAATAAGATTCACTTTTTATAAACATGAGTAGTATGTTGTGTTTACAGTGTGTCTTTCACTCTTCTCATGGTACATCAGCTGGTTATATTTACTTCCCGGTGGGCGCGGTTGTTCCTTTCGAAAGATCCTGCATTACACTGCTAGTCAAAATGAAATACAAGAACTGGAACGGATTGATATGACAAAAGTAATTGATCAGTTCCATACAAACTAATAGTCAGAACTCTTAAAAGGTTTAAAAAATTTAAATAATGAATACAACTAACGACAACTGTGATTTGACTGTATTTCAGGCTTAAGTGATGTATATATAAGGATCCCCTCATGAGTGGGTGGTAATAAATTGTTCGTATTTTTACTACTTCGAAATATTTTTGTATACAGCAGTCATATGTAATGAATATTTAAACTGTATGAAATAGAGAAAAAGCTTCAAGTTTACAAAACTAATCAAAGTACAGAACCAACTTCCAGGAATCTAACACATAGATAGAAAGATATTAATTGTATACCTAAAAAGATTTATGAATATTTTGGCCTGATTTGTCATTTTACGCAGTCAACCACTCTGTCATCTTTAAACAAAAATCACAAATTCCCATAAAGCTACAGAAAAAAATCTTTTTCGGAAACTCACCTTATTTCTAAAATAATGTAATTGCAAAATAACGCGTAAATTCTTTTTTCTAGCCTTTATTGCAATCGCTTGCATTATATTTGCACTGTCTTCATCATCACGAAATTTTGTATTTGGTGTGGCTAATATGAATGCTGCTCGTGCTTCTTTTAATTTAGTTCTGGCTAAATCGTGTGGATTATTCGGTGTACCAAGAAAATATCGAACCCATGCATGATATGGACTAAGAATTGCTTTCAATGCATAATCTAATGGTATTCTTTGTAATTATTAAAAGTAAATGGTTTAAAAAATATTGTTTTTCACAATGAAATTTTCGAACGCAAAACACTATCAAAAAAATCATGGACATCATTTTCTCAATAACGTAAAGATTCACAGCATAATTCTAAGTCCTTTCGATAATAATCAATTAAGTCGTGAGATTCGTGGCGCAATTCAACACAAAAATGCCTCATACAGGCTGATCAATGGGAAGTTAGGTTTGTAGTTCATAAAATGACGTTTACAATTATCATCCACTAAGTCTCTACAAATGGTGGTGTTTGGTACCTGTTTCAAGATATACAACTGTGAGCGGTTTCTGAATTGTCTAATTTGCATTTCTCCGAATAAACGTAGCATTCATCATCAAACTGCACTTTAGAAAGCTTACTCGCGTGAAACCTCATCTTACGTTTTAGAGGTTCGTAACAACAGATAATTGTTTTTCTTTGTGACATCTGAAATAATATTGTAAAACGTGTTACGACTGCATCATATTCATGCCTTCACATGTAGATATAAATTCAAAGTTTATATATATATATATATATATATATATATATATATATATATATATATATATATATTTATATATTGGCTCAACGATTAATGTTCTGCAAAGAATGTAAACTTCAGCTACTGAACCCAAAATTATTGAACTCGTTGGTTTCTTAGTGTAAATCTAAACGGTAGAAGGTATTGTTGAACAATAACCAGTCGAGCCAAATAAAAGTAAGGCTACAAATCTCAGTGACAATAACTATTTTATTAGCCTTTTTGTATGCTTAGAACTGCTAAATATGTGAATATTTTATGAAGTCAATCATTGAATTCGTATTCTATCCTATTTTTACTGAAAACATTTACATAACCAGTTCTGCACTACCCGGAGTCTCAAGAAAAAATAATTACTACTCTATAATGAATGAAAAAATTGCTCGATACAATTTATCCGATTTTTGAATAACTATTTTTGATTAAGTACACTTGATTTAGGTTGATTTTTGTTGTAATCTCTCTTTGCTTAAAGAATTTTTGGTGGCGTGAATTTTCGAAAAGCTTATGAAATACAATATGAAAGTACGTCAGTCTGTGGTTAAAGTTTTAAGCCTTATCATATAATTAAGTTACTAAACAAGTCAGAAACTTTTACAAAAGTGATTGATTTCTAGCTGAATATTTATATGAGTAAAAAACTGTATGCGCACTTACGGTCTCAAAAGTACCATATTTATTCTCATACGTCCTTTGGCTTGACATCCGTAAAGAAAACCTTTGATAAAAGCTCGTATGCTTTCGTTATCAAAATTTCCGCAAACGATAACATGTCTGTAGAATATAAAACGAAAAATCTCAAAATGCTGTAATCTGAAAGTAAGTCTCATGATATTACTAGTGACTAACTTATGGATGAATTTTGCTTAGTTAAACTTTGTAAAACCAATTGCCCAGTAAATTAAAGATTGATGGTTAGATGACCAATATTAATATCTAACTGTAGTTCATGATTTGAATCTCTGATTTTCACTTAGTTGTCTAAATGTATTCTGCTCACTTTGAGACCTAAAAGTATTGATGGAGTGTGAAGTCATAAGTATTAATGGCTAGGGGTTTGTGGCCTTTAATGGTTTGCTAAATGGTATTTATCTGTAATTAAAATCACTCCTAGTTCGAAAAAGAAGCCACAAAAGGATATATGTACATTATGGTATTGAAAACTTTATATGTATAAGTAGAACAATTATATCTAATATTTATTTTAAATGTTGCCCATCAAATTGTGGTCAAATCTTCGTGGCTTATTGCCCAGGTAATAATGGCAATACGCATTTTTTGTTAACGGTGTTAAAGTATTCCTATTAATAATAACCGCGAATAATTTTTTTCAAATCCGAATTTTCGCATAACCTTCGCCCGTTTCTGATTGAGTGTCACTAATTTTTATTCGCTAATTTTGTGTTTCAAGGTCAATCCTTCGTCACCATATGTAATATTTCTAATTGTTCTGATGATTTACTAAGTTTTCTTCTAATTTTTCAAGTGCTGTATGCCAGTTATTGTTATCTAGCACTAGAGCAGCTTAGTTGTTTCTTAACTGGGAAATATTGTAGGTCAAATGAAAACTTCATTGCCGTTATCGATTCTTTTATAAATGTGTAGTGTTTGTAAAACAGACAGAGAGTTTTTTAAAATAAGAGTCATCCTCATTAAGTTTGTCATTAAGCTTTTATTTTACTAATTAATCGTTAAGATTAAGTTGCTTTATCTCAAAAGAAGTATCTCGTTAGGTAAGATGTAAAGCATTACTTGTAAGATGAGAAATGACGAAATAATACTCTAACTGGAAGATGTTTAGTATAGAAAAATTTTAATTGTTATCAATAAGATAAAAACAGATTAGATTGTGATGTTTGGTACCTTGTAACTAAGTAAAAAATCTAACCTATTGATATACCACTCAAAATTAAAATAAAACCGTGTAACTTTAAAAACTACTTTTATCAAATAAAACGTGTCTTCATGCACTCACCGTTCACCTGAAATTGGTTCATATCGATCCGAAGAATTAGTATAGTTGTTATTGAAATTACGAAATAACTCTGGTACAAAACTTGCAGAAACACCCTTAAATTTCAATGAAAGTGATGAAAACAAAAGAAAGCATTGATTATTTTAAAATATTCATCATATTTTATTGATAATACATGTTGGAAACAATGAGTTTATCCACTTTCTGATATAATTTTAACTATTGATAGTTAACACTTGTTCTTTGTCTCTTTTGTATCCATATAAAAATTTAAACTGAATTCACACTACTTATTAATGAGAAAGGAATATAATATTGTTGAAATGATAAATTCAACTCTCCAGCATAACTCATTGTTTTTGTCCTCTGAGTAAGGAATTTGTAGCCATATATATATTAGTTGTGTCATTTAAATTCTGTTTAGCATGGTCAGCAAATTATCAGTTCAAGTATCTTAATCTTTCTTAGATTTTGTCAAATCAGCGGGACTTCCGTAACAATAGATGACTAGATGATATGTATATATATGAAGCTGTACAAGAAAATGAATACCACGTCTCATAATCATTTCTACTGAAATGCGCTTCTCTAATCAAATGAAATTTGCTAATTTAATTTTTGAACTAAAAACTATGTAAGATTGTAAATCTATGAAACACTTCACAGGTGAATATATTTCAATGTATAAACACAATGACAAAGTGCACTTCCGCTGTATAAATTTTTATACAATTAATGCGTGTTCAAAGATAGAGTTGACTTGAATCCATATGCATAATCAGAAATATGAGACAAAATATTTTTTTGGACACATAATTTTAACAGACAACTCTCCCATTTTAGAATTACGGTGTTTATTTGAATAGTCAGTATACGTATGAGATATTTGACCAAGTTAAAATTTTATTGTTTCTCTTACTCAGGTTTCATTGTCTAGACAACTTTTTTAAATACCAAGATTTGTAAAATTAGTAATTAAATTATCATTGTTTATACGAACTTCGAAATGAACTAGATGGTAATTTTATCATAAAAGCTTGATAAAAATGTATGGTGATTTCGACCAAACAAATCATCGGTATGTTTTTTTAGTTTGTATAATATCCTAACAACAAACTGTCATAATCACGTTCATAAGTGTTTTTAGTATATTTTAAAAAAAACTGAACATTGAATGTAGCTAAACACAATTTTGTTCCACATTCTTTGCATTGAACTAGAAAATTAAGGAAACTGTTCCGTTAAATATAATTATTTCTAAATACTAATACAAGGTATATTTTATGTCGTTCATGAAGTCATAATAAAGTTTAAACTAATGGAGCATTTTTTATATATAGTTGAAATCATGAGCCAATTGAAACTAGACCACCGTGGAAAACCTGGAAGCACTGGACGGCTGTTTCGTCTTATTGTGGGACTCCTCAGCAGTGCGCATCCACGATTTCGCCTCGCGAGATTCGAACCCAGGACCTACCACTCTCGCGCCAGAGCACTTAACTGAGCATTTGATTATTATTTTTGATCATTTTGAAATACATTCTATTTCAAAATGAAGATATATGAACGACGATTATTCTTTGCAGTAAATTCTCTTCAGGTTCTGAAATTATAAAATCCAAATTAATTATCCAAAAAACGTCCAGGTTTAAGGTAAAATTCATCGTTTAAAATTATAACATGTGAATTTAGAATTGTTTTTAATCACGTCATTTGTGTTGGGGTAACTAATATGAAGTATTGGTCTGAATAAAATTATATATTGAATGAAATTGTGAAGTTAATGGTCAGAATTGATATGGTTATCATAGGGTAAGAGAGATGATAGTATAATTACAAATCATAAATCACGTTATATGTAAAGTAATATCAATTAGGTACGAATTAGTAAATACGGATGGATGCTGAATAAATTTCTCAAAGCGTTTGAAAGTGTTACATTAATAATAATAATAATAATAATAATAATAATAATAATAATTAATGACAGCAGTAGTAATAAAAATAAGATGTTTGGTTAAGATAAGTTTGAGCTATGAAAATTTCATGAGTAAGTTTGTATGAACATTAGTCGAATCACGTCACCAGATCATCAAAACGACCATTAACTATTCAGGCCAGAAGCTCCGGTTTTCTGGTCCGAATAGCTATTGCTTCAGCTATGTGAAGGATTCTCAGTCTGACGGATTTAGGAGGATCGCTATTAACGCGATATATTGTTGTGAATGATTATTCGATGTTGGCCTGTTTGTACTAAGTGAGCTAAATTCGAGCTGTTAACAATTTTTTAACTATACCCTTACTTAATCACACTGGGAGGTGCTCGCAAGCGCGAAACCACGAATTTCTAGAACATCTGATAATACAACTTTCTTCACGAGTGCAGTTGAACTGGTGGATACAGAAAGGGGCTGGTCTAGGTAATTTATCTTTCAATCCTGGAGTTATGATCAGATGTGTAGAAAACAATAGTTGTAGTTTACTTGCATTGAAAGTTCTTCGGGTTGCTCTGTGAAACTTTATTATTAGCATTTTGATGGGTGCATCACCCCTAAAGAGCATTTGGTCTCGATTCTATAATCAAGTGTTTTAATCAGACTCCTTTTATATTGTAGAGGAATAAAACTAAGAAAATTTGTATATTGGCCAGTTCAAGGAGTTTTCCTGATTATGTTTCTTCTTTTTGGCTCATCTTTTGTTGTAAGTAGAACATCTAGAAAGGCTATTCTACCTCAATTTTCTTTTTCACATGTGAATTTTATGCAAGGGTTAACTTCATTAAGTCGCTCGAATGTTTCTATCAAGTCAGTATGGTCGTTACAAAGGATGAACGTATCGTCCATATATCGGCAGTAAAATGAAAACTTGTCAATATGCTGTGCTAGTGTATAATTTTCCAGTTTAGTGAGAAAACTTTCAGTCAATATTAGACCTAGCAGTGAACCTATCGCGACACCATGAATGAGTTTATTGTACACTTTATTTTATCTAGTCTAATTATAGATCGCTTTATTTATTTTATTGTTGTAGCTAGGTGATTTTTTTGGCTGCAATCTTTTTGTAGCTTAATGATTTGATATTGGATTATTTATTTCATACAATTTAAGTGTATTTAATATGTAAAACTACTAGTGATTGATGATCAACTGTTATGAATTCTGACTATGCTATACTTCCTAAATCGAGAGCTCGTAAAATGTTCTAATCAAAATCCAGACTTATACTTTTCTGGTCAGACTATGCAAATCAGTTTGCAGACTAGATCCGTAAATTGACCGGCGATACGCCTTAGCCAGTACGATTAACCTTGAGCGTTGAAGAGATGATTTGACGTTTATTGACCCACTATAATGTACATCTGCTTCTATACTCAGTATTGAGTCCGAACAAGTGAACATAGCAGGTAGCTTCTGTTCTCCTATACTTCAAACACTCACAGGTTTATCTACATAAGTTACCAGTCCTCAACGCATTCCATATAAGAAATAATACTTTACACCTCATCAACCATATAGAATAGAAGGAATGAAGCGAAAGATGAATGATTAATTACCAATAATTAGTGAATAATAGAGCCTACACTAATAGTTAATAGGTTCAATAAAAGCTCGCGATACAGATAATATAGAAATTTGATAGTCCAGGTGCATAATATTTGTACAATAAGCATATTAAAAAAAACACTAGTCCTTTAAATATTTCCTAAAGTTCCAACTTTTATAGTACTTGTTGCATTACAACAAAATCATTTTAGAATTCACTAAAAATGTGTTTTCGGCATACTTGATTTTGTACTGATTCCACTTTAACTGTGTGTCATTCAAATTGAAACCACGATACAAACTTGGTTATTTGTTTTGAAAAGTTTTTGTAGTGTTATTGATTTCCAAGCTCTGTTGATGTGCTTGTTAGCATTGATCTAGCCTCACAAGACAAATGTGCTATGTGTATCAAAGCAAACCTACCGGAAAATTCGGGTCAGACTTGTAGTTTCTGAGTGTAAACTAATAAAATGATCCAAAATTTTGCCTATTTCTACTAATATTTATCTCAGAAAGGTCGGTTATTTATATTGAGGAGAATTCTAACATCAAACATTTTCACTATAGCAGCTAACAGTGAGAAGGATTATTCCTGCATACGGTCTAGAATGAGAACGTATTATTCAGTATTTATAAGTCATACCAACAAATTTCGGAAATTGTAAGTGCTAAGATGATTTACGGACTCTAGTCAGCACGATTTTACCTACTTTATTTATTAATATTGTAGAGATTGCTGAGTTTCATTGAAACTATTAACCGATCAATGTTAGACCATAAGTAAAAACCTGGAATCACTGGACGGACGTCTCGTCCTAGTATGGGACCCCTCGGAAGCGCGCGTCCACGACCATGTGCACAGAAATCGAACCCAAGACATCCGGTCTCAAGCTCAAACACTGAGCTTCCAGATATTTAGATCAGTGGAGTTTGATCATTTTGGGTGTGAGATAGTAACCCACCGAAGACAACAAAAGATGGTCACGTAATATTGTGCATTGATTAAAGTTAGACATTATTGCCTTTGGATGATGATGCCCCCAAATGCCCTGGTACGGCCGTGAGTGGGGAGAGTCTACTCTCCCTCTCGAAATGCTCTCATATGGCCAGCGAATATATAGCCTCTGTCAGGGAAGTCCTACTCACTGCCTTCTCGTGGCGGGGGTGTTGTTTACGAAAGTGAGAGGACGAAAAGCGAATGTCCGGCGCTATAACCGGATTGGTGGACACGGAGGGTCCACCTAGGGGAGTTGGAAAACCCTGATTCCAAACCAATGGTGCACATGGGCTCCAGTTTCCTGATGGAACGAATGGCGGAAGAACCTGTCATTGGTCAACGACTACCATGGGACTGCATCTCCTCACGATGCTCCACTGCCTTGTGGATCAGACCTTTAGGTCAAAGGCTCCGGGTGTGGCCCCCTAAGAAAACCACCTGCTTTGGTTTGGGCACCCGGGCAGTATCACAGCCCACACACAAATGAATGAAATGACGAACTCTATTGACGATTCTATTCCTGCTCATATTATAAGCAAGACAATTTACGTTATTATTATCATTATTATTATTACTATTATTATTATTATTATTATTATTATTATTATTATTATTATTACTTACCATATCGCTAATTCACCCCCTTTTACCCCCAATTTGTGTAACCTTACTCTTCAACTTATGCATCAGCTCGCTCTTGGTGGAAAATCTGTCCTATCTAAACGATCTCCAGTCACTGTCTGGTTGAAAGTGAATGCTTCCACCGATAATGAATACTGAGGCAGTCTTTCTGAAACCGCGTACGCCGTTCAAGCTGGCTTCCTTCAACGTTCGCACACTAATGCAGATCAGACAACAGATAGGGCTGGCTATGTCTTTGGAAGGTCTTAATGTTGATGTTTGCTGTCTATTCGAGACCCGTATTCAAGACTCTAGTGAAGTACTACAAATCCGCTCTCCATCTGTCTCGAAAAGCTTGTTCCACGTGCGCTTATCCGGGGACCCTGTGGCATCTTCGTCTGGTCTTGCTGGCGTTGGTGTCGCACTAAGCGCTAGAGCTGAGGCAGCACTAATCGATTGGATCTCCTATAACAGTCGGTTATGTGCTGTTAGATTAGAAAGTTCCATCAAATTGAGAAGAAACCGGCGTGAGAAACTGTGTCTTTTTGTTATCTCCTCCTACATTCTGACAGATTGCAGCCCGGGTGCAATCAAGGATGAGTTCTACCACCAGTTAACAGTTCTTCTCCAGAAAGCGCGTTCGACAGATATTGTAGTACTAGCCGGAGACTTGAATGCACAGGTCGGGCGTCTAGGCACAGAAGAGAGTCGTTTAGGTGGCCGATGGGGACTTGTTGGTCGCAGGACAGATAACGGGGACCGTTTGCTGCAACTGTGCACAGACCACAACCTGTTTCTGGCCAGCACTAACTTCCGGCACAGTCATCGCCGGTGTGCCACCTGGCGTCCTCCCTCTGCATCCCAAGCCTGGACTCAGATTGATCACATCGCGATCAGCTACCGCTGGCGTGGTTGTGTACAAGACTGCCGCTCCTTTTGGAATACCTATCTGGAGTCTGATCATGCCCTGGTCTGCGCCAATCTCACCTTACTTTTCAGTGGCCGAAGGATTGACCACCACCAACGGATTGATATTAGTAAACTGGCTGCAACTCCTGTTGCAAGTAAGTACCGAGCGGAGCTAGCCTCTAGGCTAGCTAACACCCCACCGAAATGTATAGATGAGCACTGGTTGCATCTTCACGACGTCATGAAAATGGCGAGTAAAGCCGTTTGCGGCTTCGCGAAACGTCCCGCTTACAAGCACTGGGTTTCTTCTGGCTCCTTACAACTGATGGAAGCCCGTCGGTCTACTCCGGGTGACCGTGAGTTTGACCACAAACGAAGGCTGTTACGTAATGAAATTGGGCAAAGCTTGCGTAAGGACCGAGAAGCCTGGTGGTCGGAGCGTGCTAATGAAATGGAAGCAGCAGCTGCATCTGGTAACTGCCGGAAGCTCTTCCAACTCATCCGAGCCACTGGCAGCAAGAAGTCTGGTGTGAGTGAAACAATCTACGAGGATGATGGGATGCCAATCACTAACATCTCCCGACGTCTTGGACGATGGGCGGAATTTTTCGAAGGGCAGTTCAACTGGCCTGCTGCTCCGGCAACATCAACCAGCTTGTCCTGCCCCCCATGGCCGGTGACGACTGATCCACCAAACGAGGCGGAAGTCCGCAAAGGAACTCCAACTCTTGAAACGTTACAAATCACCTGGCCCAGATGACTTACCTCCGGCTCTTTTTAAAGATGGTGGCGACTTTCTGACTAAGGAATTGACTGTGTTGTTTGGAAAGGTTTGGGAGCAAGAAAGTGTTTCAACATCATGGAATGAGTCAATAGTCGTCCCTATCTTTAAAAAGGGTTCGCGTTGTTCCTGCAATAACTATCGGGGGATAAGTCTACTTCCGATTGCGTCCAAACTATTGGCTTCTATCATTCTTCGTAGGTTGTTTAAAACCCGAGAACGATTGACTCGCGAGGAGCAGGCTGGTTTTCGTTCTGGTCGAGGATGCATTGATCACATCTTCACCCTCCGCCAAATGTTAGAACACCGTCATACTTATCGCAGGCCAACAATCGTAGTGTTTCTTGATATCAGGGCGGCCTTCGATTCGTTGGACAGGACTGTTCTCTGGGATTGTCTATTGAAGAAGGGTGTGCCTGAGAAGTTCATTAACATCTTAAAGGCCCTGTACACGAACACCTCAGGCAGAGTGAGGGCATACAACCACCTTTCTCCCTTGTTCCATTCGAGCAGTGGGGTTAGGCAGGGTTGCCCGATCTCACCATTCCTCTTCTACTTTGCCATCGACGACATCTTGGAAACAGCTCTGATGGATGTAAGTAATGGCGGTGTGGATATGTTGCCTGGAGAACGACTTCTCGACCTTGAGTATGCGGATGATATTGTCTTACTGTGCGATAATGCCCAAGGCATGCAATCCTCACTTAATCAGTTGGCAATCAGTGTCCGCAGGTACGGTATGTGCTTTGCACCCTCCAAGTGCAAAGTACTTCTACAAGACTGGCAGGATTCTAATCCTGTACTCACCCTGGATGGTGAGCAGATCGAAGTAGTTGAGAAGTTCGTGTATCTAGGTAGCTATATAAGTGCTGGTGGTGGCGTGAGTGATGAGATTGATGCACGTATAAGGAAAGCCAGATCGGCTTATGCCAATCTGGGCCATCTTTGGCGCCTTCGTGATGTTAGTCTGGCTGTAAAAAGTCGGATTTACAACGCGTCGGTGAGAGCAGTTTTGCTCTATGCTTGTGAAACCTGGCCTCTCCGAGTTGAGGATGTTAGACGTCTCTCTGTGTTCGATCATCGTTGTCTCCGAAGGATTGCTGACATCCAGTGGCAACACCATGTTAGTAATGCAGAGGTTCGGCATCGTGTGTTCGGGCACAGAGACGATAATTCAATTGGTGTCACCATCTTGAAACACCGACTTCGGTGGCTTGGACATGTTTTACGAATGTCGTCCCAGAGACTTCCACGTCGTGCATTATTTGCCGACCCTGGGACTGGTTGGAAAAAGCGGAGAGGAGGTCAGTGTATGACATGGTGTCGTGGCATGAAAGAGAGCTGCAAAGGGCTAGCTTCTGTTGGTCCTTCACGACTCCTTGGTTGGGGTCCGAGAGATGGTGCAACACAGTGGCTAGAGACGTTATCAGATATGGCTCAGAATAGAAACCAGTGGCGATCCTGCTGCAACCTTCTTTTACTTTCTACATAAAGTATGGTTCTTACTTTCCTATTTGAAAGAGTCTTCTGGTTGTACATTTTAGTCCGCCTTATCTTTTCATCCCTTCTCTTCCTACTTTCATTGTTTTGTGTGGCGCATATGTACCTGGTGCCCTTTTGTACCAATATATATGTGTTTAAATAAATAAATAATAAATAAATTGGATGATGGGTCATTGGTCTCTGTGTTAAGAGAGACCGGAATTCCCGGGTTCGAACCCTGCTTGCAGGATCGTGGATGCACACCGTTGAGGAGTGCCATACTAAGACGAAACGTCCGTCCAGTTATCCCAGGTTCCCAATGGTGGTCTCACATTGACCTGTTCATCATTTCAATGAAAATAATGTAATTATTATCTATTCTTGTTAATTTATTAGTAGGTTTTAAATCCCGTATGGACGATTCGAGTAACAGAAAGTAAATAATGAACCAGTCCATCTACTCAAAAGGTTATTTAAGTCTTCGATGACTTTTCAAATTGCTTAGTTATAATTTAAATCAGTTTGCTTTAAGTCACTACTTCAGATTACTATTTTCAGATAAAACATCTTAATTTATTTTCCTATAGAATTCATCAAAAGTAGAAGACTAACCATAGCAACTGGTATAAATATACAAATAAATAATCTCCCCAATGTTGAATGAGTTACATAATCACCGTAACCAACAGTAGATAATGTTACTAAAAGAAAATAACAAGACTCGAAGTAACTCCATGTACCACGATGATTTTCATTCAACCAAAAATCTCCCAAATGTTCGATCTATCATTGTTAACAGGAATGTAGACAGCACAAAATAAAAGAAGTTCTGTTTTCAATAAAATAACAATAAATTTGTATCATTAAGCAAACAGATCTATAAAATACAAAAAATATTATAAGTAGATACTTCTAGATTTCCTTGCTCAGTTACCTAGTAAACTTTTTATAATGCGGCTTAGAATGAATTTAATTTTCATATTGTTAAACAAGAATCAGCTAATAAAGTCTAAATATTAGTACACCACAGCGAGGCTGGTGTTTCCAATCTACTTTGAGTGATGAATAGGTAAATATTCTACCCTTCAGTGATACAATAAATTTCTAAGAGGACTTTTTAATCTACTAATCTAACGTTGGTGGTGACTCACTGGTTTTTATTTATTCAAACACAATTCGTTTTACGAACCATTTCCTAAATAATAATGTTAGACTGATAATTTGAAACTGTTTACTACCGAATTACTATTTCTTTCCAGACTTGTACTTTTTAGTCAGTATGAAACACTTGCAAACCCACATAGATTTAATCTCATATTTTTTATGTTTTATTGGCAAATTACCAGATGATGTCCTTCCAAGATGAAAATTATTATCAAATCGTTTATTCAACACAAATTACATAATTGAGAAATCCAGCACAATTATGTAGCCATAGTTACAAAAGCAAATGCTTTAGCAGGTTAATATGTATGTATTGAATTAGTGACGTTATCGGCCACGTGTCCAGAAGCTATCGTATTAAATTCTTTATAGTTAGTGGTTTACTTGTATATTTAGTGATTATCTACCTCGTAACTTCTTAAAATATAACTCCGTACACTATCATCATTTATTTGCGTGAGAACCAGCCGCCCAATCAAAATTTTATCAGTCAGTCCAATTACCGAAAAAAATCATCAATCATGACAAATCAAAACATTTGTAGATATACATTTGTTCTTATGTTTGACTTGTATATGTAGTTATAGAATTTCAAGAGAAATTCACTGAAAGCATTTATAAGTATAAACTACTCAAAGAAGACGGTAAACACTTCAAGGGGGTTCTAGGCCCACATATTCAGTGATAATTTTTCTCAGGTTTATGACTTGTGGTCAAATCATTCTCTTTAATCATCAGACTTAGCTCATCGAGACCCTATTTTGTCCATAATATGTAAAATGATCATTCAGAGTTTGCACTATAATGATATCAAAACAATAAACTGAGTGATCATGAGGCAGCTTAACAACCATGTTTCTAAAGAGTTCTAGGGATTCTTCTAATTAGTGTAACCGAAATAGTACAAAAGTGTTGACACAAATGGCGAGTAGCTGATGTCAATAAGATCCATACACTCTAGGATTTGTAAAATAAAAGCTATATGACCTTAGTTCCTGTATTTACTAGACGGACTAGTTGAAGTCGTTCACAATTTACAGGTTAGAGATTTGTTCTAAAAACAATTTTAACGATTGTGAAGCCAAATCCAGCCACTTGTATGTGATGGATATATGCATTGACCTATCTCAGTAAGTGACTGTTATATCTGTTGTGTCCGAAGAAAAATATATCGGTAACTTTGAATTTTCGACATAATCCTCCTCCACGATACAACGATATCCATGCAACTAGGTCATTAAACAATATAAGTTAAAAACTTATGAATATTAAAAAATTCCACTAAATGATAAATATTCATGATATTTTAATGACTACATCGAATCCATTTAAGAAGATTAATTTGTCATATATTTATCTTAAACTCAGATTTATTTGGTGATGCTTAATAGTTAGAGGTGGAAAACACTTGTACAACTAACCACGTGCATAATCCCACTACCAACCATCCATATGGTGAACAATGTGAACACGATACGAGCTGACTGAATTCCTTGATTTGATGTTATCACACCCAAATAAGTGAGCGTATCAACATAATACAAAAAGCACATTGATCGAAGAAAATTCAAGTCTGAAATTGAAATGATTAATCAAAACTCTAATGAATCGGTGGATTATACTGTTAATATTTATAAGTTTTATCTATCATTTGATGCAAGATTAGGTTTGAAGAGTATAAACAAATTCCATGAAAATCCATATGATATGGAAGGATCATGTTAAATGTGTTTATTTGATTAAAAGTATCGTAGTTGGCTTCACAGTTTGTGAGTTTTCCCTAAAAATTATACGATTCTATTCAGATAAGTATTTGAAGAAATTTACAGAAAACATTGGTGATTTCAGTCAAATTTGTCTATAAGTTTCGCTTCATTGACTTTTATTCAATACAGTTATAATAAGTTTATTTAAAAAAGACAAATTACGGTGACTTATGTCGTTTTCTCAAATTCATTCATGATCATTTATCGTCGTGGACCGAGTTTACTGTCTCAATAACGACACTTTCTAATTTAATAGGTTTTACTGCAGATGCTTGTAATTAACCGTTATGCTACCCATTCTTTTCTCTCTAAAATTAAATTAAAATATTCACTTTTAAGTTGTCAAAGCAGAACATTTTACTTCTACTTGACGTTAATCAACAATAAAAGTAATTTTGAAGGTGCTTTTCTTTATTAATTAATATTATATTAAGAATGGTCAAAAAGCGTAGTTTAGTATTCTTGGTTTTTTAAATCGTACATTGTAATGGTACTGCTTGACAATAAATTCAAAATCTACTGATTCCAATTTCAAAAATTGGAGTTCCAACAACAATTAACTTCCTGGGACGTCTTTTCTTTTTATTTTCCAGCAATTTGACTTGGCGTAAAGGAAGCGCTGGAAATGAAAGTGCCGATTTCAATATGCTTCATATTATTATTTATTTTAACTTTCTATATAATTTGGTACCCACCAGTCTGTCATAGTTCAGCATGGTTTTGGATAAATTATACCTTGATTTGGTAATTCTTAATCACAGTATAACACTCATTTTAGTGTATTCTCACCACTCAATTATTTTAGTTTTTAAAGTGAAATTATTAGATATTTGAAGTCAAAGTGTAGTAAATGACATAAAATTAGTACAGTAATAATCAGAATAAAATCACCGCTTAGCATAACAATTAGTACTAATGGTATTACACTCGAGCTGATATCCTAGCTTTATGTGATCTTTAAGAAGTATGAAAAATTTTAGGAATATGAAACCACAGCCGCTCCTTACTTTAACTATGTAGAATTCTATTTAATTGATTTAATCTACAAAAATATATCAAACCGAAAAGACCAATCACTAAACACATGATTGGAAGTTAGTTTAAACATCTATCTAGTTCATTTAACAACTTATAGTCTTAATTGGCATTTCGTTAGTTAGGTCATGTACTTTGTAGAATTAAATATGTCTAAGACATGTAATATCACATGCACTATTGATAAATAATGAAGACTAATTCAGTTCTTACTTTTTATCATCCTGTCCTTATTTTTTGAAACTTTTTAATAAAGACGATATTTCGCTTACGTTTTATATTATGACTGCTATTGTATATAACTGTTAACACTTTGAATGTAAATAGATCGAAATATGATCACTTAATTGTGGTCTTTTTGGGGATTTATTCAATAAGTATATTGTGTCTATCATAGACCAACATCAACTGAAGAAGGTAGTTAATATTTAATAGCTTTTTGGCCTTGTTCGACTTGCGCCAAGATCCTACATCCACAAGATCACAGGGGAGCAAATCTAAAAGTTTCTGGTTTTAAATAAGGATAAACTATTGTTATGGGATATGTTTTTAGTGTTTATCTAATCCTTCTTAATGACTCTGCATAAATACAGACTACATAATGGGCATTCTTAGGTACATAAATGTTCTGATTTTGTTAGATGTGTGATAGTTTCATTGGAGATTGTGGGGATAATAGCCGTGATTATCCCATACTAAGGAAGAGTATATCAGTAAATGCTTTCTGATTCTCTTAGACCGATCATTGTATTATCAAGCTCTTTTATTTATTTCCTTAAACATTACTGATTATAAAGATATCATATAATCCCCAAAGCTTCACACTGCTTCATTAACATTTATTAAAAAGTCTGATTGTTAAGTCATTCAAATTTTCTCCCTAGATCAAATACAAGTTAAATCATATTAGAATGCTTATCTCAGGTATATTTTTTCCACTTCACAGCAGGTTATGAGTAAGTTATATTACATATCAAAAGTCATGTTTATTATTGATAAGGTAGTCTGGTATCTTAATCTGGGTTAACCTGGGACTGTTAATCTAAACCCAAATCTGATAAGAATCAATTTTTGAAGTAAAAAGAACTAATTTCATAATTTTATTCCGAGAATTTAATAGAATTCCAGAAAAGCTCTTATGTGTTTAACTCGGAATACTAATTAGTATCAACAATCCTTTCTTCTAAATAGTTATCTGATTAAGAGCTACAATAAAATATTACCGATGTTTACCTGATCTAAAACGTTCTTAGTGATAAGAATCCTTGAACACATCCTGAAGTTTGACGTAGATTTTTCAGAACGTAGTTACCTACTGAAATCGTGGAACTTTTGGATCTGTTCAATAATTTAGGAAAGGTATGTAGTAACTATTGTCGGTCTTTGCTTTCAATGTTTTTCATTATGTATCAAAACAAAAACATAGACCAACAGTACTTCAGTATAAACTAATAATTTATCATACAACCAAACTAGTACAGAAGGGTTAATGGTTGTACTCAAAGAGACAGAGAAAGCGGGAAATCTCGTCATTAGATTTCAATCCTACGTGCTAGTCAGATAAATAAATTTCAGAAGGTTAAATTCCAGAAGACATTTAACTGAGAATAATTTGGACGTTATCTCTCTAAACTAAGTAACTTTTCCCAGAGTTCAAAGAGGGTTTAATTTACTCAATGTCTAAAGAGCTTGATTGGTAAATCACCCTATAAACGAACGCAAAATGTCCAAAAAAGACAACTCATTTTTAGAAAATCTTTAAAGAAACTCTGTTAATATTCATTTTGGGAAAAATATAAAAACACCAATATAATCCTCGCTGATGCAATACCTATCTCTTGTATAAATGTAACTATTAATAAATGTGGAATAAAGTACTAGAATAAGAACTCAGTATCGAAATTAGTAATGACAATGTTTCAAGCAAGCTGAAACAAAAAGATGATTTTTGCAATTTGGAGAAAACTGGGTTTCTTAACAAGTTATGTGAACATTTTATACTAATGAAAGTTAATTTTAGCAGAACTGGAGTAACGTTGACTGTTAGTCAATATAACTAAAACCTATGTATACTGGTTATTCTCGAAAATGTAATGGATATATAATTATCTTCATTTAACGACATGTTCATTCTCTTAAATTGGTCTCCAAACCCGAAGTATATATTATTATTAGTTGTTGTATATATGAATTTACTGATTGTCATAAATCAACACAAATTGTTTTTAACAATATTTGATAACCTTGCTATCCTGTGTTTCTATATGAACATCTAACAATGCTTTGCATAATACATGTTTTATTGTAAACATTAAGATAGTGTACTTCACTAATCAGCATAATGCTTATGAGTCACTTGATCAATTTCTGTGTTATATTGATCAGTAAATCTGGTTCATGAATAATAATGGTGATAAATCAAGAAATAATGACTAGAAATTACGATTTTTTCAACACATTCACTTACCAATATGACGATGTGTTTCGAAAACACTGCATAAAGCCGGTGGAATTGAAATTATATCGATCAGTGAAGAAAAACTGAGAACAAAACGAACCCGATCAGTAGCTGCACACAGCTAAATCAGATTAATTTGTTTTAGGAAAGTAAATAAATATTTTTTATAAAATTACAAATGTATACCACTTATATTATTACAAAATTTTCGAGCAAAATAAGTATTATTTTCAAGTTCTGTTAAATACAAAAAGTTATTTCTCCATAGCTGTCCAAGTTTTTGCTTTACACTGAATGGTAAAAAGTTTAACCACTAAAATAGTTTGATTCTGTTGATTGGAATTAGGGTATCTCATTCCGTACTCCGAAGTATGTGACTTGTGACTCGAAGTTACAGTCAAGTTTTTTGAAAGTTGGGATAGCTAACAAATAACCCATCACTCCTGTTTAACTGTTTTTAAAGTCTGTTAAAACTAAGATTGAATATAAAGAAACTAAATTTGAAGGGTAATGTTTATATTTTCAAAACAGATAAATGATATATTGGGAAAATCTCTACAGATTATGTAATATTTTATGAAAAATAGTAAGTGGCTGCTGCTACCACAGCCACCACCTACGTTTTCCTGTCCGTTTGGAAACCTATAAATATAAGTTTTATTCCGTTTCTAATGTTAAAGTTTTTCATCCGGTTTAGGTTTTTGCGTTGCCAGTTTGCCAACCTTTAAGAATGTAATCGTGATAATGTCGGATCACGGAACAGAATAACCAGTTGTTATTTAAAGCTAAAGCAGTAAGTAGAATGCTACTTAACCAAAGTCTTGTTACGTTAGTTATCATAAGTTACCATGGTAGATTGACATGAACGATATGACAAAGAACAAATCGTTCATGAAATTAAAACCCAATCGTACTTCACACTATCATCTTTTTCACATAAAATAAAGTCCTTCAAATATAAAAATGACAATTTCCTAGGTATGCTGGCCTCTTTATCGCATGGTAATGTCTTGTAACAAGCCTTTATCATGCTACGAACAGATAAAATGCGCATCAAATTCGTGTTATTGCGTTTACATTAGTTATTTTACCGTAACTCTTAATTTATTATGTATACATTTCCATGTATTTGTGGTGTCCATGTCTATAATTTACTTCTATCTATTGTCCCTTTGGTTCCAAATGCACACATATACCTCATATTCATAGTCGAGTACATTCTTTTCCTTTGGTTAATCTGTTTGTTGTATTTCTGACCTACTGAGCCAGCACGTTCGTAATAAATCAACTGCAACTTAATTTCGTACTTAGCTTACGAATTTCACGAGTGGAAATAAGTCTAACTGTGCATCCGAGTTTAGTTTAAATAAAAATACGAAGTTAAACAGTGTCATTTACTGTCACAGTCAGAAGACGTTAATTTATAAACTTATAGTATGAAGAAAATTACAACTCTATGTAATAACCTCCATAAGTGTACCTGTCACTAGCAACATGAACTAGTAAATCACCCAGTATGCGAAAGCATTTCTTAAACTTAATCCAAATATACACATTTCATTTACACAACATACACGAAAAATGCACTTGATAATTGGCTTAATGATAAGTCACTTTTGTCATCTATCTAAAGCTGTGCACGTAGTGTGGAACTCGTAAGTCGTTAGCATCCCACACACTAAGTTTCAATTCAGATTTCTACATCAAACCAGTCATGCATCACTGGCTTACGCTACAGTTGATTCTTGAAATTCAGTTTTGACTCTACAGTTAGGAAACTTAATCAACTACTTCAATAGAGTTGAATTTTTCAGGCTTAAAATCATGAAACCTATTGATTGATACTGACGGGTCAAATGTGTGTTTAACAGATTAGAAGCATGGATACCACTAAAAAGGCTTCTTTTCTAATTAAGAGTCTTAGATCATAAGGAGTTGCGCATTGGAGACAACCAAAGCCGTCCGATAAAAACTTTTCATTGTCTAGGGAATGTCAAAATGAAAGTTTCTTTCTTGTTTGAATTGCCGATATAATTAATCTGAAGGCTTCTCAGTCAAGATCTATACTGCAGTTAACGATTAATTTTTTACTGAACTATTTTTTACCAAGATTGTAGATTACATGTAACTATAGTTATTACCTATCTATCAGTTAATAAATAACAGACATGTAAATGATGTTGCATTAAATAGGGTATGGGTTTATTGTACCAGTAAGAGATGTATATCAAAATAGGTTTGTTGAATTGGGAGCATTAATCCTAACCAATTTAGCTTTTAATATTGAATAGGATGTCCAGTTACAGATTAGCTTATTATTATTTACCTTTAAAATATAATAACCCAAGCAGAATAAATTGATACCAAAATTGATCCAACTGAGGATTTTCGAACGTAATGTATGGCATATACCACGTATACTCACAGGAGGATTACTGAAATTAAAAATGAATTGTTTACACAAATTCTTCTAAAAGTTTGTAGTAAAACAGGTGATAAATTTACATTTTTTGTTATTAAATGCAGTACATTGAATATCAGATGTTTGTTCAACTTCCAGTTCCATCGAAAAATAACATTTCTTTTACACACGGTTATCCTAAAACCAACTTCTTTGCTTATTACTATGAATATAACCTCATTAAATTGATTGACGAATTCATATGCCGCTGAATGTATTGGAGTATTTAGCTCAAACGCATACAGTAGCTAAATATCGCATAACAGTGAAGTATTTTTACGAATTCGGGTTTATAATCGATAAATGAGGCAATGAATAACCAATTCATGAAAGCTCAATATAAGCTCAATTCACTCGAGGTTTCTCATTAAATTTTATTTTTATGTCTAAGTGATCATTACACAATCAATTTTTTTATATTAATAAAGTTTGTTCTTTTTTTTCAAACACAACCTAAATCAAGATTACATAATAGTGGGATTTTAGATTTTGAAATAAACGGTATCAAATGTAATAAATGATTGTTAAAAAGTGGTTTTATTTACAGTTTATTTTGTGAAATAATCTTGATTTGCTGACATTTGACAATCTGATGATGTGTGCATAATTTAAATCCCTAATAAGGTTTTACAAAACATTCAGAGTTTTTCATGAATGTTTTTTAACGTCATTGTGTCGCATTTCATGAAATAATATACAAGAAAAAAGACGCTCATACTAATTTGATTCCATCATTTGAGTTTTGCAGTATTTATCATCATGATGGGTCATGTGTTCTACAAACGCACTTGAGTTTAAAATATCGTCGACAAACATGTTTGGTTGGTGAAAATCTGGTGTAAGAAAATGTAGTTCAGTATTTTCGTATCTGAAAATTAGGTAATGCAGAGATTTGGGTAGGCCACCTTGTTGTTCAGATAGTTTGTACTGTAAAATAAATCATTGTTTTTATGCAAGAGATCAAAGAGACAGGCACCTCAATGTTAAGATGACTTATGAAGTTGGAGTGAACATAAATATTCCGAGTATAGGGATCTGTGGAGAGTGTTTAATCTCCATGGATTACATCATAGACTTATGTCACGCCTCCCAGATAGTGGATTGTGAGCAATGACTAAGTCGACTGGAGTGCAGATGGTATATATGAAATTTATTTTTTCAAAGTCCTATGACATGGAATTAAATTCCCTGGAGTAATTATATGACTTAGTCATAAATTATTAATTCTATGGTAAATATGTGTTCACAGAGTAAGTTATTATTAAATTGGTCTTAAATACCATATTGTTCAATTTATACAAGTCTGGTTGTTAACCTGACTGTAAATAAATCATATAGAAGGTATATTCATACATTATTTTGATTTGTTTTGAGGGTTAAATAAATTTATATCACCAATCTTTCTGTTCTCACTAAGTGTCTTTGGATTATGGATTTCGGTGCCAAGCACAAGTCGCTAAAGTATTCGGCGGACACATAACAATGACAGTTATAACAACTAGAAGTCCCATACCATGACGAAACAGGTGTCCAGTGCTTCCTGATTTTCAGTAGTTATTTAACTTAGATTAGCCCGTGAAGTCAACTACCTAAATATTTTTCTCAAAACCGTCGTAGTCAGCTGAGAGAGTAATTATAAAATTGCACATACTTATTCACTTTCCGATCTAATATCTTCTACATACTTTGCGCCTAATTTCTATGAAGATATTCATTGAAACTATGACAAATGTCCCTATAATTAATCAAATAATGGTTACCTTATAACTAAGACTTTGCACCGGCAACATGCGTTTTCTTAAAAGTGATTATTAATATCATTTGAATAAGCCCCGTAAATTTATCTGTAAACTAATGACTAATTGCATGGTTGTGATATTAAGTCAACTAATTTTTCACCTGCGGATAACCATCGCTTATCATAATCAAGTTTATAAAAGAAGTAATTTGGAGGCCATCGTAACCTGATAAACGTTAAAATATTGGTATACTCAACAAATTTTCGCAGCTTCGTTTCCTCAGCAAACAGTTTCAGAAGGAGAAGTAATGGATCAATCGGGTTTTTTTAATCTCTCACAGTAAACATTTCTCAAACAATCTTTTGTATAAATAATGATAATTATTTGAGAATCACAGCTTTGTTTTTGTTATGTCATTCCCTACTCTTGTCAGTATTGTTTCAGATCAAAATCATCAGAATGTTTGGTTGTATTTACGTCTTTACGAAGGTAGCAATTCGATTTATAAATACCTTATCCGGCCTCTCATAAGACTGACAGTTATCAGAGGCACTTTACGGTGGATGTAAGAAGAAACCATCAGCAGTTTAATGTGAGTCTACACAAAAATCACTTTGTTTATCACGAGGGATATTCGAAGTTTGAATTTTACTAATTATTTGCCTCCACAACGATCAGAAGAGTAACTTGATTTTTGAGAAAAAATTGGACAAAGTTTCGATAATGTACCTTGAACGATAGATCAATTTATCTGTAATCACAAGTTTGTTGATCGTGATATATTATTGACTTATATTCACGTTTTAAATGGGCCAGTTTTGGGTATGATGACTTCTGTTTTAAAACTAATAAATTCACAAACAAAATCAAATGTTTATGTATACATAATGTTCTACATTTTAAACTAACTTTCTATTTTCAACTACATAAAATAGCCAGGAGACCGTACTGAGAACAATATAGATAGTTAACTGAAAAAGTAAGAAGAAAACAGATACAATTCAAAATAACACTTTAGAAACTGATAAGTGTAAACAATTTTTATAAAAAAAAGTTAAATGTATGGAAAAAAGCATCTAACAATTTCTCAAATGACACATCTCTGCTTATAGTTGAACCTAATCAATAAGAATAACTAGTGTCACCAGTAGTTGTTTGAATTATCTTTGCGAGGTTAAAATACAAGTTTTATTGTTTATGAATCAGTTAACTGGCAATTAATGGATCACAAAATTGGATAATCGATTACACGTAAAGAGCACTTTTCGATAAAATGTGTGAATGATCAACAATCTGTACAATAATTTTACGATGACCAGTTTAATGAAGACAATGTTGACAAACAAGTGAACGAAACTGATATAACCAAGTTTGCACAAACAACTCAATAATTAAAAAGAACACATTCAATGTATTAAGTATGTGGTTTGAACTTCAGTAAGTGTTTTTTCTAAACAGTAGTAAAAGTTAGAGTTAGATCTCTTTTTTTTGCGGCCATATTCATATACATTCCCTTCTAAATCCCTTAGAGTCTTTAACTTATATTTTATGAAACGTAAAACTTTGAGGTTCATTCACTTTTCTGATTTGTAATCATTTATTTATTTAAGTCAGTGGCATGTACTATAGTCCCGTTTTTTGATTTAATATAAAGTTGATATAATTAAAATTTAATGAACTGAATAGAAAGCGAATTTTCAGAGAAAAGCGATAACTAATTGAATTTTCATAAAGCCTTCCTGATATTTGAGAAATATTGATATTATTGCTTATAGTCATTGAACAGAAAAGACGTTGAGAAATTCACTACGATCAAGTAAAATATCCAAAAAGGAATTTTAATTTCTCTTCCTTGATTCACTAAAGTGAGCTTTCATTATAATCTGGTTTTTACTGAATATAATCCTTTTAATTGGGTTGGTAGAAATATGTCTTTCCTGACATTAAATGTTTCGGTACCAGTGCACTCGTATTACCTTAACAGGATTTTACAATTGAAAAAACAATAAATACAAGATAAAGTGTTTAACACCTCATGAAGCTTTTCTAGTGATAATGTTGGTAGAAAGCCTGGATAAAGGAGGAGAGTTGGTCATAGGGTCGGCAAATCCATCCTATAGAAAACAACCTAGCTAAGAAAACGCTGACCATCAAAAGTCACTTAAACTCTGCCTTGGGAGTTGAAGAATCTTCTAACAGAATAATTATGACACCCCATGGTGAAAGGCGAGATCCTTCGAAAGTCACAAGGCCGACACCCATTCTGACAACCAGATGAACAGTTAACACAAATACCTGAAACGTTCGGATAATGCAAGAAACTGAGAGGATCAGCCAAATTGTTACGGAAATTAGGAGATAAGACTTGGAGGTGCTCGGAGTAAGTCAGAGCAATTAGACACAAACTGGACAGAAAATATTAGATTCGAAGAGGTACTGTTCTACTATAGCATGAAGAAGGAAGCGTTTTCACACACAACGAGTTGTACAGATACTGTTCAAAGCAGCATGAAAAGCACTTACAGGATTGGAATCTCATGGATCCAGGATCATCAAAACATTCTTCAAAGCGAAGAAAGAGGGGATTACATAGAATTTTATCCAGTGCATCCAACAATGAAAGCAATGAAGATGATAAGGATCGATTTCGTGCTGCTGCAATCGATCACAGATAAGTGCTTAAGAGTGGACCTGACGATGCTGATGGGAGACGTGGACGACAAAGTCGGGATGAACAACACCGAGTATGAAGATATCATGGAACGACATGGATCGGGAGAAAGAAACAAGAATGGCGATATATATATATGTGAATCAATGTGCCTTCAACAAAATGGTTATAGGTGGCATAATATTCCCTCACAAACACATACACAAGGCTAAATGGGTCTCTCACTTGATCACACCACAGAGAACAAAATCGATTATATTTGCATTAATAAAATGTCCATAAGGTCAATGGGAGACGTGAGAACCAGGAGAGATCATCAGAAAAAATAAGAGTTGGGAATCAACAGAACCAAACGACATACCATCTGAAGCACCAAAGTCAGACAGACAAGTAACTACAACGATACTTCACATTCTCTTCAGAAATATTTAGAAGGGAAAACAGGTGAGGATATGTCATCAAAATACCAAACAATAGAGATCTGAACATGTATGAGAACTACATAAGTATCACACTGCTATCAGCACAAGGAAAAGTTTTCAACAGAGTGTTGTCGAACCGAATGTAAGATTCACTAGATGTCTGAATTCGACATCAGCAGGCTGGATTCCAGATCATTGTTGGACAATCGATAGAATGGAATTCAATGCTATGTATCAGCATCCCTGACTGTGGATAAAACTTTCAGGTACCTGGTCAGTAGCATTATCAATGAACGTGGAGGGTTCGATGCAGATGTTAAGGCACGGATTGGCAAACCTAGAGAGGCATTTCTACAGTGGATGAACATATGGGACTCAACACAACTGTCAACCAATATCGAAGTCAGAATCTTCAACGAACGTCAAGACGGTCCTACTGCATGGAACTGAAACTTGGAGAACTACCAGAACCACCATCAAAAATGTTCGGGTATTTATAAACAATTGTCTAAGTAAGATACTCAATATCCGTTGTCCGAAAACTGTCAGCAACAGTCTACTGTGGGAGAGAACAAACCAACTTCGAGTTGAGGAGGAAATTAGAAAAAAAAGTTGTCATTGGATGGGACATACTTTGCGGAGATCATCAAACTGCATTACGAGGCAATGCCTAACTTGTAATCCTGAAGGGAAAAGAAAAAGCGGGAGACCAAAAAAAAACACTGGGCCGAGAATTCGAAGCAGACATCAGAGAATGAATAACATGTAGAAACAATTGGAAAAGATTACCCAGGACAGAGTTGGATGTGGAATGCTGGTGGGCGGCTTATCTTCCTCCATAATGGGTAGCAGGTGTAAGTGAGTTCATTTGAAATAGGTATACAATGAATTGTCACAATTTTATATCGGATGAGAAGCACACTATATCACAAGTTTACAGAAGTGAAAAGTGGAAACCATTGGATTTTACTTGAATGGTCTTGATGTTTGTTACTCTCCAAGAGAACTGAAAACCTTAGGTTTTATCTGTTTCCGAGTGATTTCTCAGAACTCTTTGAATTTCCATAACCTATCAGTTGGCATTAGTTTATCATCAAAATACTTTTTAACCTTATTATATTTTTATAAATCTGAGGGTAACAAATAACTGAGGAGCAACTCAGTGTAATTCAGTTAGTTTATTAATAGGGTTGACCTCATTTACAAATAGGTAACTGACACTACCAGTTGGAAGAAATTAAACTTGTAGAAGTTCTATGAGTAGTTACAGATTGGATTTAGGAAGGCAAGAAATACAAACCTTGAAATATGCCATAAGGCATACACCTTTCTGAAAGTGTTTCGGTTCAACATACATAGTGAAGTCTAGCTATTCTAAGTAGTTACGTATCAATTTTGCTTGTTTTGTAACGGTCTTTTGAATGAATCAACCTGAATTTCTTTTTACTAGAAAGTTATGAAATCTAAGTGAAGCAAACTTTCTCTACTTCATTCAATAACCACATATAACTTACTCTTGCACTACCAGTCTTATTTGAATTTCACTCGTTAACTTCTCAGTTGACTAGTTAATTTTCGTACTGATCTGATAATCTATCTTTTTTCAAATCAGTGGTTTTGGGTTGAAATTTAAACAACACATTTCATCAGTGATACAAACTCGTTGTCTATTTCACTCTATAATCAAGTATGTTAATCGAGAACGTTCTTGTGTCTGCAAAATAAGGTACAGTTTTGTTGGTTTGTATATTGTTTACCATATACTTGGAAGAATAATTTTGAATTTATCCTGTATTCTTTCAGTGACAATGGAAAAATAGTGTAAAAGGTCTTAGACAAACTTTATTTTCATCATTTATGTACACCATTTCACTAAATATCGTCGTACTGATATCTCTTATAAGTAAAAAGATCACGTTGATTGCAGTGTAAAAGCCCCCAAATGCCCCGGTACGGCCGAGAGTGGGGGGAGTCCGCTCTCTCTCTCGAAATGGTCTTACATGGCCACTCGTATGTAGCATCTGCCAGGGAAGTCCTACTCACTGCCTTCTCGTGGCATTACTGTTATTTACGAAAGTGAAAGGACGAAAAGCGAATGTCCGGCCCTTTAACCGGGTTGGTGGACACGGAGAGTCCACCTAGAAGAGTTGGCAAACCCTGATTCCAAACCAATGGTGCACATGGGCTCCAGTATCCTGAGGGAACAAATGGCGTATGAATCAATCGTTGGTCACCGGTTACCAAGGGACTGCATCTCCTCACGATGCTCCATTGCCTTGTGGATCGGACTTTTTGGTCAAAGGCACCGGGTTTGGTCCCCTAAGAACACCACCTGCCTCAGTTTGGGCACCTGGGCAGTATCACAACCCTCACACAAATCTCATTTGATTTGTGTGGCGCATATGTATCTGGTGCTTCCTAGTACCAATATTTATGTTTAAATAAATAAGTGTAAAAAAAAGTACAATATTACTTTATTCATAAAAGAAGTTTAGGATTGTGTTTGTTTTAATCATGGAAATAAAGTCATTATCGGGAAATAAATACCACTGGAAATTAATAAGCTATATTGTACCTAGTCAAATCACATTATTATTGCGTTGCCTTGATCAACAAATATTACTGAACTATTCCAACGTCAATCAAACAAAGTGAATGATGAATAGTAAATAAAAATCTTACGAATTTTAAACTATTCGCAACTGTGAAAAATTGCGTCCAACATACGATGAACTTTTCCGATTACTTATTGACAGAATAAAAATACAATTTTTTTCTTTTACATTGGACGTGCCAAAAGTTATGCTTCGTAAACTGGCTAATCCTAATAATCTTTAAGATAAATTGCTCTTCACTGGATTGAAATTTTCATCTCATT